ATAAAGGTGTTCTGTGCCAAAGTCTTCATACATTTTCCTTTATTAATCTATACATATGTATTAATAAAAAATAAGTGTATATGTAATATCTCGAAATAACTACCCTATTAAAGACATGCCGTAAAGAAATGAATAACCATTTTTAATTTATTTTTTCTGTTTATTTTTTTCTTTTATATAAATATTTTGCCTATTTATAATACCTTTCCGTTTTGTGAGTTTGTGATTCTGTCACTCGAAAAGTAATGTGTATAAAAAACAAAACAAAGTCGTGTAAGTCTTAGCATTTTGCAGTTACGCTATGACAAAAAACGATCTAAGTTATTGTTATTTTTTTGATTTTTTGTTATTTTTATTTTTTGTAACAGAAGAACGAAAATCCCCGAGGCAAAATGTCCAAACATGCATTGCAAGCGCAAAGCGCGTAGGTATGTTCTACTAGCGCCTAAAAATCAAGATTCCAACGTTTTGTCGCATGAAATCGTATCTAACAATCATATTGAACATAGAAATCATATAAAGAGCACATTGTCAGAAAGATAAATGATTGTTGAACTTATTAATATTTTTTGAAATAGATTAATTGATCTTATTTTATTTTTAGCGGCTTATGGTGTAGATTTATCAAGTACCCATGGAGTGGTAAACACGATAACTTTTGAAAATATCAATTGTTTAACTCAATCTATTTTTAATCTCTTCGTCTATCATGTGGGAAGCCATGGAATGTAAATGGCAGTTTAATTTTGTTTTGTTTAGTTATAATTAATTTTTTTTGCCTGTAAAATGTCGAAGTTTTCGGTGTTTTAGCAGCCTTGTATGTAATTTATTTTAAATAGACTGCTTCACTCAGTCAACCGCCGTCGTGAGTGGATACAGTATCGGTTGTTTGCAGCGGCTCAAAAAGATCACTGCACAAATACAAAATATTCGAAAAACCAAATTTCATACATACTTGATTATTATAATTATCAGAGATTTTTATTACAATATTTTAAAAGCACAGAATAAATAATAGTAGTACGTACTAAAAGTAAGTAGGATGTATATATTTATACTTAAATACGTCTTGGACTTTATGGAGTGACCTGAATGGTGATATGATGATCATACATATATGAGCATTAGATCGTGCACTTTTGGATTTTCCAAACTTTTTTTAAATTTTACTTTGACATAAATTATTTGAAAATTGGAAGTATAATAAGTCTATTAGTGAAAACTTGTGTGTATTTAAACTACTTTAAAAATTTCCGTATAATCATGTTATACGTATTTTTTTCAATGCGTTTAGGGCATGCACAATTGGATTTACCAATAGTTTTTTCATACACTACACGATATTCATTAAATTAAACTCACTATAATATCAAAAGTAAGTACACGATCTTATCTATAGAAATAAAATCCAATCCTTTAAATATTTTTCAACGTCGTTTTAACAAAATCGACACTTTGAAGAAGGTTTTTATTTTCTTAATCGGACTCTACTTGTTACGCTAGTTTATATCTAAATAAATAAAAAGTTATTTACAATTAAAGTACACTCGACTGCATTTGAAAAATTTTACTACAGTACACACTGAGCACAATTTAATGAACAAGGGACTTTCTTGGCAAGGGTTCTTAGATCGTTCGCAAATTGTCATCACACTAGAAAATCTTATTTTTATTAATTACTTATGTACCAATATTAGTTTATATTTTACGTGTATAAACAAATTATTTATCTACTTCTACACACAATACCCTTATTAACACGTCGCAGTCGAGTTAACGTACAGAGAAAATACCAATTGCACTTAACATAACGAATGACATTGTTAAAAAAAATGACTAGGACACATAGCAAGACTTTTGAGATTTGCAACCATTGTCATCAAATTTTAACCTTATTGTAAACAAATAAAGTGGATGAATTAATTAGTGTTTTGCGATTCCATGATTTAAGTGCTTTTGCCCAACATTTTTTAAAATTAGACTTATTATATCGCCACGACAAATACTAAGCTATATTCTGTTCGGCAAGAGTTGAAGTCCCAATCTGTGTGACGATAGTCGCTTATCGCTGTCAGAACAGTTTTGTGGTACGAGGCTCGCAGCTGTTGTCGAGTACGAGGTTTTTTTATCTATGAACAAAAATAATTAGCGGGAAGCAATTTGTAATGAGTTTAAAAACGCTACTTTATAATCAACTCTTGCCAAGAGACTTAATAATATTTTCAATCGTAAGAAGGGCGAACTAATTTATTATTTAATATCTTTTTTGTATTTCTAACATCGTTAGCTGGTCGTACGTTAATTGCTATCGTATTATTCACTTGTTAGTTAGTGAAGTCTACAGAAGAGCTGTCATTAAAATCAAATGGTTGCAAACTCGAATCGAATCAAAATAACACAATAAATATACAAACCATACAAACGTAGTAAGAGATTCAGTGTGCAACAAACTAATTATACAGTATCGTAAATAAAGCTCAGAATACAAGGCATTTTGTTCGTACTATGTTCTTAAATTAGTATTATATACAGATCATAGCATCTCAATAACTTGTGATGGTATCTTATACTTGTCATTAATTAACAAAACACAATACTTCAATAGAAGACACCTTAAAAAACATAAAACTTAAATTAATATAAAAAAAAAAATATTTATGAATATCAAAAAGTTATTTGTTAATGGTGCGAAAATAATTATTACGGTATCTTATACTCGTACATTATGGTCCTTCGAGCCATTGGAAAATTTGTATCAACGTACAACGCTAGGAAGGATTGTGATGTTACTTCAAGTGTACTATTATTATAAAATCTAAATTTAAAATTATCAATAGATCTAAATTTATCAAATCTATTGATAAATTTCATATTTTAGACACTATTCTTCATTCTCTATGTATTCATAGATATAATGATACATTTAGTTATAAAAGCAAATATGAAACGTTATTATATTTATACACATTTAAATTATTTTGAAATGGTTTATCGAACATTGTATAACAATTTATCGATAGCTTCACAACAGTACTAACAATAATAAACTATTGCCAGATTTATTTATTTTTTCAAATTTTCTCGGTCGCCCAAAAAATACAGTTAAAACTTAAAGCGTTTATTAGGGCAGTATTTTTTCTAAATATTTTATAGATTTTGTTACAATTGAAACAGCTGATCTTGATTTGTTAAAGTGCACGTTGTATTGACTAAACACTCCAATCTATATGTAAAATGGCAGTGTGTTAGAGAATGAAGAATGAATTAAAATAATGTTACAAATCGATTAACTACTGAAAATTCGTTTCTGTATCGACAACCACTAGTTAGTGTATAGAATATGGAAATAGGAATTAATTTTTATTTTTAGTGTAGGTAATTTAAATTCTACTGAAATAGCTTTGAGAATAACTCCAAATATAGCAGTTGTAGTAATTCGTCTCTATGAGGTATTGATGTAAAGTTCGCATTTACCGCCTGTTTGCTTAATAAATTAAAGAAAATGTAAAATGGTTTCTTTTAACATAAGCTAAGAATTGTGTTTGTTATGGATTTGTATCTATAAAAAATATAATTTCAATAAAAATATCAGATTACGGCAGAGTAACATATGTATTTTCTAAGTCTTACTCCTCATTATAGAAAAACAGGTCGTGAATTGATGTACATAAATTAATTGTGTCTGTACATACATTTCAAATTTTTTAAGCAAACAAAATTAAAAGAATCTTAGAAAAATATAAAAATAAATATCGAATCTAGAGCAATCGTTCCTACCTAAATTAAAAAAAATATATCTAGAAGGCAAAGTCTTAGAACTTAAATAATAATCTATGTCTAAGTGCTTCAAGCTTATATTTATATGTAAATCTTGCTTGTTTTTGTCATGAACACTATGTATGCAAAAATATTAAAAAATAATTTAGAAACACACTATTTGAACCTTACAATATAAACTTTAGTCTTATGTTTTCACAGATAACAAATTATACTAAACGACATCATGTCATATAGAAGTAAATAAAATTAGACCACGTAACAACATCGACTTACAGTCTACTTAGATTTGTGATTGATTAAACATCTCTTAGGAAATAATTCGTTTGCATCGCATAGTATTTTTTTTGGTAATTTTTTAATATTGAATGTCGTTTTTTTTTGGTAATGATGAAGTTTATTAATCGCAGCTAATTAAAACCGCAAACGCAGGTAATTTAAAAACAATTACATGACGAAATAGATTTGTTTTTATCGATACAGTCAAAGCGAAAAACAAATAAATCGGTAAATTAATAGATCTAAATTTAACAGACCAACAAAAAATATAAAAGACTGCATTATTCACTACTGAAGATTATCTGTGATATAATAATATGTCAAAGACTACTGAGTTAAGATACTGCGGACCGATTATTGTTTTCTCTCAAAATTAAAAAGCAATGTTGTTTTAGCAAACAAATATTTATCTGCGCGAAATATATAACAATATTGTAATTAAATAGTAAAATGCTATAGAAATAATCTCTGGATAATAAAATTACAAAGAGAAAATAAAGAGTAATTATTATGGTATTAGTTTATAATATCGTTAGATCATATTATAATGTTTAGATAGATAATTGCAGGCAAATATACGTGGCCATCAACTGTTGGCCGGTATTTTTGCCCTACCACATTCTTATGCACACCTCGCACGCGAAGCGGAGAGATTGGGCTCTACTGTCGAATTTTTTAGACCACTCGTTCCACATTACATCGCACTAATACGCTATGGAAAGCACATGATTAAAAAGAGAAAACACTAATGAACAAGCCTGATGCTTTTTTTTAATTCAACAACTTTATTAGGTATATTACGTTATTACGTATTATTATAAAAAAAGTCCGATAACAAAATTATATTGTGGATGTCCTTTAGTTTGTGGTTCATAAATTTACTCCGTGTACAAGATATCTCGAGGACTACTAAACAAAACGATCTATTTTTTTTTCACTATTTTCAGAATCATGCAGGGCTGGTTCTTTTCGATAATCACTTCTGTAATCCTTTTCGTTTTCTTTTTTTAGTTTCTTTTCTTTCAATTGCTACACCTACGTCAAACTTTTCTTTCACATACTGCATGCCTCATAACGCGAAGCGTTATAAGGTCCTGCTTTACTCTCAACATGTAAAGTGTGACATCGACTCTCGACATGCCCAAACATGGGCATTTGAAACGCCATCCAATCGCGTTTGACTAAGCGAATCGCCTGATGGTGTGAGGTGACGTGCGGTCGCCGGGGGGGGGGGGGGGGGGGTCAGCGGTATGCAGCTTCCCGGCGTTCGGCTCTCGTGGGCGAGGGACAGTAGCTTGAGAGCAGCGGCGCGGTCGATTAACGTATTTTGTGGTGACCGCTGCAACGGTTTCGCGCGACCAGTTTTGGTTTTGTGGTCTAGATTTTTAGTATTTGTGCGCGTTTAATTCGCTATTGAATTTGGGGTTTCGTGGAGACCGCCTCGAGTAAGTTTGTCTGAGTTGTACGTTCGTGACAAAAGGCTTCTATTGAATTTGACTGATTAAAGTAATTTCGTTTGAAAGTAATTGCGTCAATTGTATAGTGATTGCGTGTTGAAGTGCATTTTGCAATATTTAACTTGCTTGTGTGACGTGGAACCTTGCGCGCACGCCGAGTAGATACGGTCTGGAATTTGAAGCTTGCATTCCATTTCGAGGGCGTGGCCCGGTTAATTGTTTTTGGAAGTCATTGTTTAATTGTACCGTCGCGTTAAGAGCCTTTTGTGTGTGGACTCCGTAGTTAGTTTGCGTGTCAGATAGGCTAATTTTGAATTCTCATTGGGGCGTAGTATTTAATATCCTACGAAGGAATTTAAGTTTGTTGTTTGGGAACGCTGAACTTTGAGACTCGAGAAGAGGCCGCATTCGATCCCGTGTTTGTAAATTTGTGCTACGTGAACCCGGAACCTTGAATATTGAACTTTGAACGACTGTTAGTTACTTGTGTCGGGTGTCACGTGTTTGATTTCGATGAACGTTGAATTGGTTGACTTTGAAGTTAATTATATGTACAATAAAGTTGATGGATTGAAATAGTGTACAATAAAGTTGATAAACTGAAATAGTGAAATGAAGAAAGAAGTTGCCAATTGGTGACGTCCGCTGCCGCTGCCCGATCACCTCAGTTGGGTCAGGTCACATATATAAACACTACTACACACCACTTACATGCACCTACACCTACCTACCGCCTGACCGAGCCTTGGGGCAGTCTTAGCTTCGGAACCAGGTACGTACTATTTGTTTACCTAGCCTTATATCTATTGTGTAGAATGATAAGTCTCCATAGGCCGTTGGGCCCCGTCCCTTGTTTCCCGTCGATGGGATTACTCATGGGCCCTAGTCCCGTCAACCTTTGTTAGGGCAGCTAGGGGCGTGTACATCAAGGTCAAGCAATTTTGTGTTCTTAAAATGCCTCTATCATAACCATATTGCACTTATGCGATAATATGAGTAGCTGTATATCAAGAAAACAATAATTAGTCCATCTTATATTTTCTAAAAATCATTTTATGTTGCTACTAGAAAAAAATACAGTTTGTAAAAAAAATTACGTGGACGTCCGGATGTTGATTTTGTATGTGGTCCTGACAACTCCCGAACGAATTGAAGTATCGAGACCGGGTTTTTTTTTATTAGCTTCAGAGTTACATCAACTGTTTCCCTATTTCATATCAATAGCCTAGTACGCGAAGTTTGTTAATAAAATGATTTTCAACTTTTATAAGATTTGTTGCTGTTAAAAATTTAAATTCTTTATTTCAGATGAATAACCATTTTAAGGCGCTTTAATATTTTTTTAGTCCTTGATAGACAAAGGACATAGGTACCATACAACCTATATCGATTTTATACTTTGTATATCAAAATTAAATGGAACGCTCATGAGACTGGATTTCCCAAACTATTCATTTGTTCTTAGATTGAGGAAATCTTATGTATGTAAAGAAAAACGTGATTTAATGGTACTTACTGTTACGTCAGTTGATCTGGGGGCATGCGACATGCGTTTTACCATGATTGCAAATAACTAAAGCAATTAATCAGCTAAGCTATCTTACCAAAAGCTATTAAAGCACTTTCTCTTTAGGCGACCCCAATACATTAATGAAATCTTTAAATTATTATTAACTTGTGAGATATCAACCAAGTCGATGTACATTTGAAGAATAATTTTTTTTCTAAATTCTTATATAGAGTAAGGCCGTAAGACACATACATTGATCCTCAATTAAGAATCAAATGGGGCATCGAGGTGTGCACTTTTGAATTTTCAAAATTAATTTTTCTAAGTTTACTAAGAAGAATTCGTAATCGTAGACCATGGGAATTTTCGAAAATTAAATATTATGTACTCAATACGAAAATAAAAAGCGAATACGCGATGCTGAAAACTTTGAAACAGTATCTCTACGTCACGCACACACGGATACCCAGGCGAGTGTAAGACGTAGCAGTCACGTACACAAAACCGTCAATTCTGGCCCATATATTCAAATGTAGTTACTACGCATCGTGGTATCTAGACATTATATGATCTGTTTTTATATCATATAGATAACTGAATAATCTTCAGTAGTGAAATATAAAAGCTTATATATCAAAACGCAAAAAAATCACACCAATTTTGGAATTGATCCACTCAAGCTTTGCTTTGCAAATATAACTCTAATCTCTTAAATAATAAAGCGTCAAATGGTTTCGTCTCGAATCAGTCGACAATAAGGCTCCGCTCTCGTTCTATCTGCGTGCAGTCAACACTCGCGTCTGCTCTATCGTCTATGATTGACTCTGTGCGCTCTATATCTAGAGCGATCACATCGTTAGTTTTATCACTGTAACAAAGAAATGTATTTAAATAAATAAATAATACGCTTATTTCGGTAATCTTGTTAACATAATACTGAGACGTCCCAGTACCAATCAGAGGACATGCATTATGCATTATGACTGTTATACATAATCAATTTGTTTATTTTTAATTTCTTTTTTTTTATAAATTGAAGTGCCTTCTAAGCTGTATTGGTTGTAAGCCATAACTGTGACAGACTAGATTGGCAACACCTTTTGTTATTAGGCAATTCCATCGGAGGTCAAGGGTCATGTTCTCGACGACGATACGAGTCGTTTTATATGGCTCCGAAAGAACATCAGTGCTGCGGTAGATCTGTCGCTGTATTATAATATATCGAGCCCGTGATAGCCCTTTCGTTGCTGTAACTTAGTGTGAGTTATTATTCTATTCTTTAGATTTTTTTTACACGTAAAAAGCAAGTAAAAAAACATTTATTTATTACAAAGAATAAATATGTTTTTTTCCCTTTGTAATAGAAGTATCAAGCAGCTTAATGCTGCTGTGTTACGTATGGTGAGTGTAGAGAACCGGAGACCCTTTTTACTGGAAAAGAGGCATTCCATCTTAGTCCTCACGGCTGATAACGCATCTGCATTTTAATTCGCAAACGAAGATAGATGTAGATGTCTATGGGCCACAGCAACCACTTACCATCAGGTGGACTGTGTGCTCGTTTGTCACCCTTATTCTATAAAAAAATCTATAGTCTTTAATTATCATGACCGTGGGTTAAAAATGTATTAAGCTAAGACTCACCTATGGTCGCAAGATGGCGGTGCTGTTGTGCTCAACGCCAGCGATTGGGGACGGCGTAACCAAGAACAGCGTTCCTCCTGAATGAGTATTTTTAATTTTAAATTAAACTATACATGTTCTAGTTGATTGTTATTATACTATTAAAAGTAAAAACCCTGTAAGGGCTAGTATCCGTGGAGACTTAGTTACAAATACGCTTCAAAATACATAGTGAAACTTGCGCAGACTAGCAAATAAATTATTTACAAATCATACCGCTAAAACATTTTTTAGTCTATTTGTAATATTTTTATGTTAAGTATGAAGACATTAATTTGATTTGTATTATATTATAGATTTCAACAGACAGAAATATCAACAGTTATACAGACGTCATGAATTTTGTATGCATGCATCGACATAATATTTCGTTGTCGCTCCGTCGTCACAGGTTTGTGGTTTCTTGCAGGTAGCAACATATACCACATTTATGAAATATTTTGAGCCTTCTGAACGTAGCACGAGTATATGAGAATTCTCTAGTACAAAAACGTACAGGGTACAGCTAAGTGCGCACGTATGTTTTCTAAGAATGTAGTAACACATTTACTCGCATGCAAGAATCTACTAGTTTTTTTTAAAATTTGTGTTTCTTTAATTTCTTCGTGATCATATTTATCTTATCCCCTATCTAAATTTAGTTTGCACATTCCAAATTTTTTAAGTCAGATATTACCGTCATTGTGTTTTTTGTTGTGTATTGCAATGCTAAGCATAAAATTCTTGATTTGAATCAGCAAGGAAAATCGTATTAAAAAAAATTAATTAAAAACTGTTATACTTATTTGTGATTGTACATTTTAATGTAGTGTATATATTATAGTCAATACTCATAACCGGTCAAAACCACTTTTGACTGCAAAAAATCGGGCAAAAGTAGTTTTGACTAAGGATGTTGGGCAATACCACTTTTAACTGATTTTTGCAGTCAAAAGTAGTTTTGACTGAGGACGTAGGTCAACACCATTTTTAACTGCAAAAATATTGCGTAATAGTGATTTTGACCAAATTACATTAAAAGTTGTTTTGACCAAAAATATTAGTCAAAATCACTTTATACTTTTTGAATTTTTAAAATTGAAAAATTCAATTCCTACAATATTATATTTCATATCATCATCATGTACGCGTCTTTAGGGTGGCCCAAGGGCCACCCCAGCCGCACCTTAACCTTCTGTTACTGATATTGCAAGTTTTGACCGATAGTCTGAACATTAGTTGAGGCAAAATTACTTTTGACTAAGAACATTGGTCACAACCACTTTTGACTACTAAAATCAGATAAAACTGTGTTTGACTAAGGGCATTGGTCAAAACCGTTTTTGCTTGATTTCTGCAGTCAAAAGTGGTTTTGACCGGTTATGAGTTTTGACTGTGACATATAAAAGACCTGGCTCAGACTCCATATATTTTTAAACATTTTATATAGCTATTTCTAAAATATATACAAACAAGGCACTCGTGTGATCCACAACGTCTGAAACATGACGATCTACGTCATGAAATATCTGCAAATAACGTAATGACGAATCATCATCATCATTATAGTCTTTCACAAATCCACTGCTGAACATATGCCTCTCCCAAGGAATGCCACAAAGCACGGTCCTGAGCCACCCGCATCCTTCGACTTCTTGCATGATGGATAATGAGGAATACGCGGTTACATATACGGTATAGCACGGGTACGAACCTGCGGCGTTAACACGGCACTGATGTCGGTCTGCGTGGCAGCCTGCGTGGCAGACTGCGTGGCAGACTGCGCAGTGGGCTGCGTGGCAGAGTGCGTGGTGGCGGGCGCGCAGCGCTGCGACACCGCGCGCAGCACCTGCTGCATGCTGCTCTGCAGCTCCTCCACCTGCACGTTTTTTGTTGTTGTTACTATTCGCCAATCAACAGGCAAAGGTCGCGGACCATGCAGCCTACGTGGCCTGGTCACGAAACACTTCACAATATGCTGATGCGTCGCATTGCGAGTACTTAGAAAATTTTGACGATAACTTAATGGACAGTTGATGACAATAATATTTCAAGGTCCCTTAAGTAAAACCTGACATATCTTTATCGCAGCACTTGTTTCATCATTTCAATTAAAAATTCACATGCGCAAATATTTAATAATCAAAATAATTTACACAATGAAACAGAGGCAGCTATTAGCTGGCGGTCAAGTTCCCACCAAAACTCCCCACCTGCATAACAAGCATTTTTTTAAAATATATGTAAATAAAAAGTATATAATACTTAAATATAATATATTTACCTGTACTTGTAAGCTGCAACATGTCTCGGTCAACTGTCTCAACACCTCAGAATTGTCATCGGGATCAAACACCTTATTCTTTTGGGCATCTACAAAAAACAATAGACTTAAACCTTAATTTATTTTCGCTACACCTTACATATACATAAACACTCACGCCTGTCACCCAGAGGGGTAGGCAGAGACTACGGACTTCCATTTGGCGCGATCCTGACACACCTCTCTCGCCTCTTTTACATCCATATATCTACGCATACACGCTCGTCGGTTAAGGGTACTCCTAATCTGGCCCATTTTTAATGTATCGCCGATTTGGTCGATAAACCTTCGTCTAGGGCGTCCATTCCCGACCCTGCCGTTCACTTTCGCAACATAAATTTGCTTTGTCACTCTTTCCTCGTTCATTCTTTCTACATGACCAAACCACCGAAGCATTCCTTTCTTAATCCTTGTCACAACGTCATCTTGCAAACCACACTTTTCTCTTATCACACTATTTCTCACCCTGTCATTCAGATTTAGCCCTAGCATACTCCTTAAGGAACGCATTTCTACAGCATTTATTCTACTCTCATGCTTCTTCTGCCAGACCCAACTTTCACTACTACAGGCTACACGTAACATTCCTATACTACATGGCCATAAGGATTACACCAAACCTTAGAAAGCGCCTATACGTCGTATATACTAACTTCGGCTTTGTAAGGAGTTGTTATTGTATGTTTGTACACATATGATATTTGATACTTCATTTGTAAAACTTTCATATATTTAGGTCTGGTCTACTTTTAATTATATACTATATTATTCTCTACAAATCTGGAAAAGAACCTTTGTAAAAGAACCGTCTCGTCGAAACAAATAAACGACTTTCTAAAGAGTTTCATTATAGGCTGTATGCTTTTAAGAACTATTTTATAGTCATTTTATAAAATAACTCCGTCATGCTGTTTTAATTTATACTCAACCAAACTAAGAAATATTTTTTGACAGTTGTCACATTTATTGGACTAGCCATTCCAATAAAAAAATCAAATCAATTAAATTCAATTCTTAAGATAAATCCATTTAGTTTCCTTACAGTTGGTAAACATTTACAGTTTTATCTAGATTATTAATACCATAATAAATTGGAAAGAAGTAACTTCAATCACTGTCGTCGTCATCATCGTAGTTTATATTAATTATTATATGATTTTCTATAATGCAGTCAAAATAAATGTTTCTTTCATAGTAGTCCATAACAATTTTCTTTGTTTTCTTTACCACTTTCGTCCAGTCATCCCTTGTGTAGTAGTTGTATTTTCTACAAAGCCTCCTCCGGCGGACCCCGCATAGCAAATTATGAGGCGCCCACCTTTACCCACGGACATATTTGAGCAAGACGCTTTAGTGTCATTTGTCCATGTCTATACAGTATGGTTGGCGTTCCAATTGGTTATATTTATTTCTCAAAAAAAAAATGTTATTCTTTGCATTCGTGTCTCTGAATAAATATTTTGCGTTTGTCAATTTTTTTTTAGTATCAGAAGCCAATCCAAAAGAAGAAATCTAAATAAATACTTATCTTAACATTTTTTTAGGTTACTTATGAATATCAAATGACTAGCTTTTTTTAATTATATTCATTGCACCAAATTTAATTTTTGGGTTTATTTCGGCAATTTTTGTGTATCATTTGATGTTTTTCATTTCTTTATTTTTTAATTTTAAAGAAAAAATGTTAGTTAAATAATAAATCTTATAAAATTAGTTGAAAATTGTTTCATTTCTCAAAATAAAATTGAGGTGAATTTGTGGGGAATCTGTTGAAGTTTTGTCCTTAAACAAACAAAAAAAAAATTGGGGAATTTGACATGGCTTTTCGGGGAATATGACAAATTGGTGTCGGCAACGCTGCCATGTTGCACCGGAATTTACCTACTAAAATTTGTTTGTCGGCGACAAGAATTAGAGGCGGCAATCACTACAAAACTTGCAAGTAATTTTTAATAGTTTTCACGTACTTCTTTTTAAATTCAAAGTTATGGACGGATTAAATACATAATTGTGTTAGTGAGTATCCAATTAGGTACGTTTATTAATTTTAATATCATTTTTGTAGTAACGAACTGCTTGTACGTCAGGGTACAAGGTACATAACTTCTAAATTCCATATGAAGGCTAGTCGTAGGGATAACTAAACTTATAAATAAAATAAACATTGGCAATGTCGTAAGGGTTTTACGGTCTGTGCTAGTGCTCAGTGCTTCAAGGACGAATGCTTCGTGCGCATTTGTTTCGGCGGGATTGATTATTAATTTTAGTTTTTGAGGAAATTCCGTGTTGACTATCACGTGCGCGTGAGCGATAGTTCAATCGTTTTGTTTATTATATTGTTGTTGTTACGTTTTGTTTTAATAATGCCTAAGGCGTAGTTACGTTTATAGTGCTCGTGAATACGGCAACATGTTAATGTGCCTTGAAGATCATACTTAGGATTTAGATCAGTAAGCTGTTTCATACCTAATTGTTTTTAAATAACTTAGTACTGATCTCATCTGAATAGGTACATAACTGAATACATCAGAATAATAAAAATACTTACACGATGGATAAAAAAGTAAAAAAGTTCTAACCTTGTTAACATTTCATTTAATTAATTTTTTATTAGCGAGGAATCGAACCAGGTATTTGGTTTATTTAAACTGTGAATAAAGTGGCTAGGTGAAGACAAGCACAGTGGCAAAATAGTAGGTTAAGTAGATAAGTCAGGTATTTAGTTAGTAGTTTTATTAAGTGTTGTAAATTATTAGGTATTGTGGTACCATCGCTAGCTACGGGCCGCGCGAATTCGGCGTCCGGGCGTACATTGACCTAGTCAGCTGATTGTAATTCCACTGCTGGTTTTATGTTTAAGTATTTTCATGATTTTTTTAATGTAATTATCGTTTTATTTAGCTGTACTAACATGATGGAGCGTGAATAAATCTAATAAAACATTGTGAAAAGATGTTTTTTTTCCCCTCAGGAAAGATTTTATTTCTCACCCATCATCAAAGGTACAGTTAGTACTATCGCCTGTCTTCGTTTATGGGAGCGTTTCACAAACACCCGGTGGTATTACAGATTTATACTTTATCTGAAAATGTATTTGACCACTGATAGTTGGAACAAAAGTTATTGTACGAAATTCCTTGTACTTGGCGACCGGACTATACACATTGTACATGCACCCGTATCTTCCAAACTTACTTGCAACTTCGCTGCAGTGGGATTCACAGAAATTATTTAAGAAAATAGACTCAATTCACGATTCATATAATTTAAGCAAATTTAAAAAGGTACATAACAATATATCATAGAAATAATTTGGAAAAAAATAAGGTTTATGATTCATTGATATTTACAAATGTTAAATATTATTTAATATTATACAATTGTTACGGCCCCCAGCTGCCCCTCCAAAAGTCGACTGGACCAGGGCCCATGAGTTATCCCCTCGACGAGCAACAGAAGGTTCCCAAACCCAAATGGCCTATGGACAACCCTCCACCTCCCATGGCCCCACCGACCCTCAGGTCATACGGGCCGAATCTCAGATGCGAGCGGTACTTGCACGTGGCTCTTTTCCCACGCGCACTTTCTTGACTCCCTACAAATATTTCATCTATTCCTTGTCCCAATTTTACGTTACTCTCCCCCTTCTGGGGCTGACGGCACTATAACGCCTACGACATCGGGCCCTCCTACCAGTATTCTCTCCTGCCCCATTCCACGATCGCGACACCCATGCGCAAAACTCGCGCAGCAGCCCGTAGTTCACCCCAGTGGCATTGAGTCCGATGATATTGCTAAGGTGACTCAGCACAGCTGCTCCAATTGTTGGGTCGGCAAGATAAGCGCCAGCCCACGGATGACCGCTCACCTGCACGGTCCCCGCAACCTGAGAGTACTGTTCTTGTACAAGAACAATGTCCAGGTGCAGTTCACGCGCCTGATGGGCAACTCAGCCGTGGCAAGCTCCCCCCGACCCAGGTTATTTGTCCTAGTCGTAATGCCTTGTCTTCATGGTTGTCTACGGGGCCACCCTTACTGGTGGTATTGAGTGCTGGCCACAGAGCGTTGCTCTGCATACAGCCTTGCTGGGCAGTTCCTCGCCATCGTCACGTGCGAGTCAGAGTCAGATCTACCAAATCGCTTACACGTAGCGTACTTCTTCTCCGTGGACTTGCAAGCGCCACGCTCATGCCCTTCCTCTCCACATTTTCCACATACGACCTCCTTCGATCGGCAATACTTCGCAGGATGTCCATACTGTTGACACCTCTGGCAGCACGTGACACCCACGTAATCACACGGCTCCACCACGTCCCAGCCGACGTATAGCCGGTTGTACCCGATCAGGATATCTCTCAAAGCAGCCGAACATTGAAGGATCACTGTTGTCCGCCTGCTTCCTCTCCAGGACTTCTTGAAAGCGATCCTGCAGTTTTCTTTCAAGTTTGTTTCGGTCCATCCACAAGCAGCAAGGTTCTGCTCATAGAGGGCGCTAATGACATCCTCGTACTTGGGATCCTCCTCAAAACCCCTGAGAGCCACCAGGGGTAAACGTTGCCTGGGCTCAGTCACCCTCAATGATGGAGGGGCCTATGGACAGTTGACCTACACGATAGTGATAAGCTAGGTAAATAAATAGTACGCACCTGGATCCGAAGCTAAGACCGCACCAAGGCTCGGTCAGGCCGTAGGTAGTTGTAGGTGCATGTAAAGTGGTGTTTAGTGGTGTGTATATTTATGTGACCTGGCCCAGCTGAGGTGACCGGGCAGCAGCCTGCTCCCATGCTGCCCCACAATGCTGCATCACTCCAGCAGGCGTCACCAAGTGACAACTTATTTCTTCATGTCACTATTTCAGTCTATCAACTTTATTGTACATTTAACTAACTTCACTCAACTAATTCAACGTTCATCGTAGAATCAAACACGTGATACCCGACACAAGTAACGAACAGTAGTTCAAAGTTCAATATTCAATGTTCCAGATTCATTTATCACCAAATTACAAATAGGAAACTAACGCGATCTCTTCACGAGTCACAAAGTTCAGCGTTACAAACAACAACTAAATTCCTTCGTACGATATTAAATACTACGCCGCAATAAGAATTTAAATCAACCTAGCTGACAAGCAAACTAGCTACAGAGTCAACACACAAAAGGCTCTTAACGCGACGGTACAATTGAACAATGATTTCCAAAAACAATCAACCGAGCCACGCCTTTCAAACGAAATTACTTTAATTAGTCAAATTCAATACAAGCCTCTTGTCACGAACGTACAACTTACACAAACTAAACCGAAGCGGTCTTCACGAAACCACAATTCAGTAGCGAATTAAACGCGCACAAATACTTAAAATCTAGACTAAAACCAAAACTAGTCGCGCGAAACCGCTGCAGCGGTCACCACCAAATACATTAATCGACCGTGCCGCTGCTCTCAAGCTACTGGTCTCGCCCACGAGCGCCGAACGCCGGGAAGCTGCATACCGATGCCCTCCCCCCCCGGCGAGGCACACGTCACCTCACACCATCGGGCGATTAGCTTGGTCAAACGCGATTGGATGGCGTTTCAAATGACCATGTTTGGGCCTAAACAAACCCCCGTCCCGGACATAAGGACTTATGTCCGCGAGCAAACCGGCAAGCGGGACAGGGTCGCGACGGCACGTTGCAAAACCGAATCTACAACCAAAACCTAGGCCACCCTAGGCACCCCATCAGATCTTGCAACCTTTACCACCGCCTCAAAAATACCGCCCCAATGTGGGCAAGCCGGAGGGTCGAACCTCCACTGGATGCCCTTCCTGGACATCGCAGCAGGTGCTACAAATAAGTCCTGTTACTGGACAGAAGTCCGACGACCTCTCTGGATCCGAAGCTAAGACCGCACCAAGGCTCGGTCAGGTTGTAGGTGCATGTAAAGTGGTGTTTAGTCGTGTGTATATTTATGTGACCTGGCCCAGCTGATGTGACCGGGCAGCGGCCTGCTCCCATGCTGCCCCACAATGCTGCATCACTCCAGCAGGCGTCACCAAGTGACAACTTATTTCTTCATGTCACTATTACAGTCTATCAACTTTATTGTACATTTAACTAACTTCACTCAACTAATTCAACGTTCATCGTAGAATTAAACACGTGATACCCGACATAAGTAACGAACAGTAGTTCAAAGTTCAATATTCAATGTTCCAGATTCATTTATCACCAAATTACAAATAGGAAACTAACGCGATCTCTTCACGAGTCACAAAGTTCAGCGTTACAAACAACAACTAAATTCCTTCGTACGATATTAAATACTACACCGCAATAAGAATTCAAATCAACCTAGCTGACAAGCAAACTAGCTACAGAGTCAACACAGAAAAGACTCTTAACGCGACGGTACAATTGAACAATGATTTCCAAAAACAATCAACCGAGCCACGCCTTTCAAACGAAATTACTTTAATCAGTCAAATTCAATACAAGCCTCTTGTCACGAACGTACAACTTACACAAACTAAACCGAGGCGGTCTTCACGAAACCACAATTCAGTAGCGAATTAAACGCGCACAAATACTTAAAATCTAGACCAAAACCAAAACTGGTCGCTCGAAACCGCTGCAGCGGTCACCACCAAATACATTAATCGGCCGTGCCGCTGCTCTCAAGCTACTGGTCTCGCCCACGAGCGCCGAACGCCGGGAAGCTGCATACCGCTGCCCCCCCCCCCCCCCCCGGCCAGGCACACGTCACCTCACACCATCGGGCGATTAGCTTGGTCAAACGCGATTGGATGGCGTTTCAAATGACCATGTTTGGGCCTAAGCAACAATTGTAAAAGTAAAGTCGATCTGAAAACGTCTAATTAGTAAGAATAGCAAAACAAGTGTTTTCTTATATTTACGCGAACACTACACATTTAAATTTCAAGCACTTTACAGCACCCATGGTCACGGGGGGGGGGGGGGGCTGTAAAATAAGTTAATATACGCGATAAAATCCGTAAAATTAGTTTTATTTAAAACAAGTGTTTTCAAAAGGAAAAAAACGCCGGCGCTATACGGCGGCGCGGCGGATTGACAAAAGTCTATTTATTAGCTTTTTTATGCATGAACGGTTTCAAACTGTTTCAAGCAAAAATAAGTCTTATAACATATCACAAGAGCACATGACACTTCGTAGGTCGATTCGGCCATATGATAGTAATAAGACGGCAGTTCAATCATTTTAAGCAAAATTAAACAATAAGACAAACGCATTGTTTTTTTAACAGGAAACTTGTTTTCCAGAAATTTATTTACAACTTGAGTTTGTGAGCGATCGCAATGAGTGCTATTATTTGCTACTTATTAGACTATTTTTCCACAACAAGATGTGATTTAGATGTGGACAGGCGTGTCGCTGCCGGGAACAAAGTCAATGGTGCCCTGACTGCGTTAGTCAAACGGCAAGGCGTAGCGAAGAGTGCACGCCTTGCAATACATAACGCAGTGTTGGTACCGACTTTGTTATATGGCAGCGAAACCTGGGTATGCCAGAAGAAGCATAAAAGTAAGTTGAATGGAGTGGAGAAGCGATCTCTTCATAAAATGTGCGGCGTTACCATGGCCGACCGAAAGCGAAACGAAGAGATTCGCAATATGGCAGGTTTGAAAGATGACCTTATCACAAAAATTGATAAGGGCGTGCTTCGGTGGTTTGGGCACGTTGAGCGAATGAGTGAAGACCGAATGGTGAAGAAAATATATAGCGAGAAAGTTAATATTAAAAGGTGTCGAGGTAGACCGAGACTAACTTTCGAAGACCATGTGAGCAAATTGCTCGAAGATGGTAGGGTCAAGAGTACTCGGATACCTAGACGTGCATGTATGAAGAAGATAATGAATCTGAAAGAAGCGAAAGAGGTTTGTAAGGATCGTGACACTTGGCGATCTGTTCTCTCTGGCTACCCCGTTAGGGATTGTGCGTGAAGATAAGTAAGTAAGTAAGTAAGTATGTACAAGTTAAAAAAAGGTTGTCAACCCCTAAAAATTTCAAATTTTCAAAATATCCAGGAACGAAGCCGCATGCATGAACTACTTGCAAAATAATGAATATTTTGTTCTGGATAAATTTTCCAAAAACGCAATTTGAGCGAGTTATAATGATTTTTAAAAAGACACGACTCGTGTGTCATACGCCACACGCAAAAGTAATCGATGGCACGCCTGGCGTGCCATCCGCACTGAACCGGTTATTTTAAATCGTATGAGTATGCTTGTTCACAGTTATTGCAGAATGATTAATGTGAAACGTCAAAAGTTATTTCTTAGATTTGGTAGAGTATAGGTCAGCAGATTTCGTAGTTTTGTGAATTACATTGATTTTTTAGGCCAGTATTCAAAGACAATCTCATATTTCAACTCAAACTCCATAAAGATAAAATTTGAGTCTAGTCCATACTATGCTTCACAAATTTAGACATTGTTTGAGTTGAAACTTGAGATTGAATTTGAATAAAATTTACACGAATGGGTCGGCTCGACCTGGGTAGGACGCTCTCACAGAATAAAAGCGTAAAATAATAGCTTAAGGATGGTGTATTTCGTATGGTGCTGTTATATATGCTGCTGTATTTACTGGAAACGAGGCATTCTATCTTAGTCCTCAGGAGTGACAAAGCATCTGCATTTTGGTTTTACCATAGGTGAGGTTTAAAGCATAATATCTACGCGGACGAAGTCGCTGGACGAAGTCGAGGATAAATGTAGAAGTCTATGAGCCACAGCATCCATTTCAGTTGGACTGCGTGCTTGTTTGTCGCCCATATTCTAATAAAAAATGCTCTAGGGGTGCAGAATACAGATTTAAAACGTAATTTTCTCTTTGTTCAAGTACCTACAAAGGCTCATAGGTCTTTGACCATTTATTTCTAAGCATACTTTTCTTACAACATTGTCATTAACCACAAAAGAAGGTGAAAAATCACCATTTCGTTACTTGTGTAGTAATTAAATAACAGTCTTTTTTGTACACACTTATGGCATCATAAAGTTTTCAACACTAACCAGCATTTTGTAGAGTTGACACTTTCTTCCATAATGCATTAATGGCTTGCATCTGTAACTGTTGGATTTTTCTTTCGCTTTCTAATGCTGCTTTGGTTGCTTCCATATCACAAGTCAGTCTCCTGAAAAAAAAAAACTTAGGTTTTAGGAAAAACGAATAGATATTTTTTTTATAGGATAAGGGTGACAAACGAGCACACAGTCCACCTGATGGTAAGTGGTTGCTGCGACCCATAGACATCTACATCTATCCTCTGTTACAAATCAAAACGTAGATGCGTTGTCACCCGTGAGGACTAAGATGGAATGCCTCATTTCCAGTAAAAAGGGCCTCCGGCCACCTGCACTCACCAAGCGAAACGCAGAGGTAAACCTCTACTTCACGTTGGTTTTCTGTGAGGTCGTGGTACCACCCCGGTTCGAGCCGGCCCATCCGTACGACAGCAAAAGCTGCCGCGTGGCCCTACCACTGTTAAAGATATAGAATATAAAATTTATTCACTAGAGATTCATTAAAAGACAAAACTTTTTAATATAAGAATTATTTGTAATCTACTTTTTTAAATTACTTGTAATCTATATTTAAAAAAAAAATTGGAACATAGGCCTTCTCCATAGGTTGCTTCATCCTTCATATTTGCCACACTTGTCAGGTGGTTCTTATCAGGAAGATGCTGCTGCTATCGCCTGTATCAGTTTCCCTTTGTCGCCTTTAAAGACACCCACAGAATGAAGTTAGAAATGAGGCGTATTTAACGTAACAGATAAAAAAAACAGATATTTTAAAATAGCAGACTGTAATTGTGACAAACAAAGTGTAAGAAAAGCTCCTGTTCAAATCCACTAAAAGACAGTCACAAGTTTTTCTTTATTCATACATATGACAGTTACCTTTGTTAGAATAAGATAAAAAATGTTACTGTGACACTCTGTTACTCGTCACAAGCTCTTTCCTTTTTTCACATAGGTTCAACGCCTTAGTTAGAAAGAGAGGTACCTATTAAGACTGTATTAAAAGACTGCTATATTGTAACAGGTTATTGGAGTTGTTATTTATGTGGAACTGGAACAGGCGTAACAGATATGTGATTTTACTAGTTACAGTCCATTCCTATATGAGGTAATCGTCATAGTAGATATGAGGGATTCTCTTATACCGCTACTCCACGTCAATTAATACTTACTGTATATGTTGTCTCGCTCTAGCTGCCTGTATCGCATGCAAGATCCTCAATGTATCTTTATTTAAATTCCTGCTTCTGTAACCTCTCCACATCTTCTGTATAGTTATAGCTGCCATTGATTCCACACTCATCTTCTTTTGTCTTCTTTGATTAGAAGCTAACTTTATTATTTCCAACTTTTCAGGGTCGATTTGATCTATTTCAGTATTGTTTGTAATACCATTGAGTTTCTTTTCTTCATTCTTAACTTCGCACTTTGTTAGGCTGCCTTTTCGTTGTTCCATTTTTGATTTTAATTTTGGCGAGGAGTTTGCACTTTTTGGTAACTTGGGTGAGCCCTTTAAACTTTTGTTGGCTTGCTTCTGACGGTCGTCTTGAACACTGCTGTTGCTGGATTGGCTCGAGGTATTAGAAATACTGTTTGCTGTGTGATTGCTTGGCTTTGGTATGGTTCTTTGGATGTCGTAAATTGGGTCCTGATAATCAGGGCTCATGAGCGATTCGGGCACAGGCACCATCTTTGAAGCTGCTTCCAGGGATTGATTTACGGGTTTCGATGATTGTTGTTGTTCTGTAAGTAAATATTTAGTAGTTACAATAAATCATGTTGAATATAACACCACAGTTTAGCACCAACGAGTTTGAACCATAGTCAAGCTCGTACTCAAACCAACTTATAAATTGGAAGTGACGTCACAGATACTTCTGATTGGCGAAAAATTTGACATATAAACGATTTCAGTAATCACGGCAGTTGTAATTTAACTCAATATAATTTAACGTATACGTAATATTGTCATTTTAAATTTTCAATTAAATGCTATTTAGGTCTGTCTTTTACATTACTCGTATATGAGTAATCTAATCTAATCTAATCTGAATCTGGTGGTTGTATATGCCCCAACAGCAGGTTCAACAGAAGGAGAGATCCAGGACTTTTACAGATTGTTGGAAGACACTCTGAGGAGCCTGGCCAGAAGGGAGATCACACTTTTGATAGGACATCTTAATGCAAAAGTTGGATCGACAGGACATGAGGATCACCTAAGAATAGAATAGAATAATGATTTATTTGCATTGAATGTAGGTAATAACAATAAGGTGTTGACAGAGTACATAGAAGATCCGTACATTCTACCATTTTGGCATGCAAATATTAAATTAAATTTATTTCTATATAACACTAGTAATTAATTATAAATAGATTTAAAATTATAATTATGAGTATAAATAGTTATTACATTATTATAATTCAAAGTATTGCATTATTATTACATAAATTTATATTGTTGAAATTTTATTGCAGTTAGCATAACACATAAATTATTAATACAAACAGCATATTATAAACAATGAATTAACTGGAACGTTATTTAAATATTGGTATCATTTAAGAAGTCCGACACTGAGTAATAGCATCTTTCCAATAACACAAAGAAGTAAGACTCTTTTTAAATATTCTAATGGGTTGATTTTTTACAAAATTTGGGATTTTGTTATATATGACAGCTGCCATGCTCATAACAATTTTTTATTTAATAAAGCTGTTTGAAATCTTCCTGTATACAGTAAATATTTATATTGCGTTCTCATAGAGAGAAGTCGTTGGGAAATATGGTCTCGGAGAGAGAAACGATAGAGGTGAGATGTGGTTGCAATTCTGCGCGGCTCTGACCATCATGAATACATGTTTCTAGAGCCACCCACGACGGCTATATACTTGGGTTATGCTAGGTGATCGTGTCAGAAACCAAATTGATTATATTGCTATTGCAAAGCGATGGAGGTCCAGTATAATTAATACAAAGACGTACCCCGGAGCTGACTGCGGAATCACAAATTATTGGTGGCAGTCATGAGTGTAAAGCTCAAGAAATGCTGGAGAACCTCAGTAAAACATCATGGTCGACCTTCTCCAGAAACACTTCATACCTTCAAAGAAGTCTTTAGCAAAAAAGTCACACATGTAAAGTTAGATAACAGCACTGACATAGATACAAAGTGGACTACAATAAAGAACATTAGTTTCGATACACGAAAAGAAACCCAACAGCAAAACTATTGTAGTCCAAGAAAGGCGTGGATATCTGAAGAAACGTGGAAGGCGATTAATGAAAGAAAGAACCTCCTAACCAGAAGGTACTCTAAGAATGCTCAGTATAACACCATGCCAGCGAAGGTTCAACGTTTATACCGTAGACACTATAACCAATATCTGAACTCGATATGTGAAGATGTTGAGGACCATGCTAAGACGATGCACACCAAAGATCTGTTTCTACGAGTGGAAAGCATCACAAGAGAGTTTAGACCCAAAACCTGGGCGATCCAAGATGGCAAGGGTACATTACTAACGAAGATTGACCACGTCACAGAAAGATGGCGGTTATATTGCCAAAGCCTGTACAAGGACGACAGGAGATCTTCTGGGCCATTGAGCCTGAGTGAAATCCTAGAGCCTGAAATACTGGAATCTGAAGTCAGGGAAGCTCTGAGAAATATTAAAACAAATAAATCAGCTGGAACAGACAGTATATTCGCTGAAGAACTGAAAAGCCTTGGAGAAACAGGTATCAAAATCTTGGAACTGTGTAATCAGATCTGGAGCTCGGGAAAATGGCCTAGGGACTGGACGGAGTCTCTTTTAATATCACTGCACAAGAAAGGCTCGACAAAAATATGCCAAAACTACCGAACAGTGGCCCTCATATCACATGGTAGTAAGATCATGCTCCACATTATTAAGGGACGCTTACAACCTTACCTTCAGCGGCAAATACCTAATGAACAGGCTGGCTTCGTCAAAGGCCGCGGGACTCGGGAGCAAATTGTTAATATTAGACAACTCATAGAAAAGAGCCGGGAATTTAATGTTCCGATAATGATGTGTTTTGTTGACTACTCCAAGGCGTTTGACTGCGTAAGGTGGGATTGTCTATGGAAAATTCTCATAGAAATGGGTGTTCCCTGCCAAGCTGGAAGAGACAGTATATTCGCTGAAGAACTGAAAAGCCTTGGAGAAACAGGTATCAAAATCTTGGACCTGTGTAATCAGATCTGGAGCTCGGGAAAATGGCCTAGGGACTGGACGGAGTCTCTTTTAATATCACTGCACAAGAAAGGCTCGACAAAGATATGCCAAAACTACCGAACAGTGGCCCTCATATCACATGGTAGTAAGATCATGCTCCACATTATTAAGGGACACTTACAACCTTACCTTCAGCGGCAAATACCTAATGAACAGGCTGGCTTCGTCAAAGGCCGCGGGACTCGGGAGCAAATTGTTAATATTAGACAACTCATAGAAAAGAGCCGGGAATTTAATGTTCCGATAATGATGTGTTTTGTTGACTACTCCAAGGCGTTTGACTACGTAAGGTGGGATTGTCTATGGAAAATTCTCATAGAAATGGGTGTTCCCTGCCATTTAATAGCACTGATCGCAACCCTATACAAGAATGGGAAGTCATTGGTAAGAGTGAATGACGTGGTATCAGCTCCTTTCAAACCACAAAAAGGAGGATCTTTTTAACATCTACGGCGAGTATATCATGAGGACAGCGCTAGAAAAGTGGCATGGCTGCATTTCCGTTGGAGGCAACAAAATCGGTAACCTTCGATACGCCGATGACACTACGCTATTGGCTTCCTCAGAACAAGAAATGGCTGAACTGCTTAGAAGAGTCGAGCGCGCAAGTGAGATGGTAGGTCTTTTCATTAATAGGACGAAAACTAAAGTCATGGTAATAGATCGAGCTGGAACTTTTGCACGAACCGGAGAACTCGCAGACCTGGAGTTCGTAAATGAATTTGTGTACCTGGGATCACTTATAAGCAATCAGGGAGGCTGTGACAAAGAAATTCAGAGACGTATGCAGATGGCCAAATCAGCTATGAGTAAGTTAACCAGAATATGGCAAAACAGGGAAGTGTCGAATACCACCAAGACCAGACTCGTACGAGCTTTGGTATTCTCAATATTTCTGTACGGTGCCGAATCATGGTCAATCCGAGCAGCTGACCGAAAGCAGATCGAGACTTTCGAAATGTGGTGTTATAGAAGAATGTTGCGTATACCTTGGACAGCAAAAAGAACCAACAAGTCTTTCTCGACCAACTAAAGATTACTACCAGGCTATCCACTATATGCTACCAACGAGTCCTAAGTTATTTTGGTCATATTGCCCGGAGACAACCAGACAATCTGGATAAATTGGTTGTAGTAGGGAAGATCGAAGGAAAAAGATCACGTGGGCGATTACTTACCCGCTGGTCCGACCAGATTCAAAATATAACGGGACTTAATATTCCGAATGCCCTGACACAAGCAGAGGACAGAGTGGTATGGAGGAAGCTAGTCGACACATCGGTGAAAGCATTTCAGGACAAGCACAACCTTCAGTAATGAAGCACACGAATAAGAAGAAGATATGAGTAATCTAAGTTAGTTTATCAGTCTCACTTGTTCTTTCTCTTGCTTCCTAATGAAAGCCATACATGTTACGATTTAAAGAAAAAGTTTGCCTGTGCAGGTTTGCCTGCGCTAAAATTGATTTCCGGCTGCTTGTGTAAGATTAAAAAATTGCATAGATCTCTCTGTACCTCTACGGTAGACCGTAACATGTATGGCCAGCATTACTCTCGCATTTTTTTTTTGTACTTGAGCAATCTAAGATAGTTTATCATTCTTACCAGTTTTGTCTCTCCCACTGTCCCGTTTCTCGTACATGAGTCCGGGCGAGTCGAAGCTCTGGCTCATGGCGTGCGGGATCAGTGGCAGCTCGCTGCTGTTGCTCAGCGAGGGAGAGCCGGTTCGAACCGCCGCGTGATAGCTGCTCGACAGGCGGTCCGGAGACCGGCCCATGTGACGGGTTGGCACGCGAGCTGGGCACAATGAAGGAGGCTAATAATCTTACGCTCACCAGATGTCGCTAGTTGGAACTGAGGTGAAGTTTTTTGTTACACATTGTCATAAAGTTGTAATTGTTATAATAAAACGTTAATCAATTTCTAGAGTACAAATCAACGCCTCGGCGCTATATTCTTTAATTTTTGATACATTTTCAATTTTTTTACTACTTTTAGATAATCCCTAATATGCATAGTTCAGTTCATCCATTTCTAATCTAATTATCTAATTAACATAAAATATAACTAATATTTCAGAAAAAAAAACGTTAATCTCAACACTTTACTACCAAATTAACTCGCCCGCTATCAAATTTGTCAAATATTTCCCCTCGTGCCTAAAGCTGAAAAAGTGGATGGTTATTGCACGGCATTATAATTTAAGACTGTCTCTCAAAAACAATGAGGTTTCCTCGGCAGATTAAGTTTACAACATAACAAGAAAAATAATAATTTTGCTAACACAAATAAATTAATATAAATAAAAAAAAGAAGATATATTTGATTACGGTACATCCCTGCAACTTCCCGTTAATTTCATGACGCATGCACGCACACATCCGAACATCATTTCAAAAATAGCCAGAATAGCTGAACTGATGAGAACTCGATTTTCAAAAACAATAACTTCCCCATGTTTTGAAAATCATTAATTTTCATAGCGGGAAGTTAAAAATACTCACATTGCATTCTTGGAGACTGCAACTTTGCTTTCATAGGGCTATGGTTATGATCTTTTAGCTGTTGTTGGTGGTGTTGTGCCTGTAATTAAGAATAATTTTTGTTTTTTATTTTCATTTAAAAAAAAGTTACACCACACTAGGATTATCGTGGAGGCAGTTCACATACATAAATTTCAGAAGGACAAAAATCCAGACCTAGAACAATTACTATATGTCGGCCATATAAACACTTTAATATGTGGTTCTCAGCGCCGTAACCCGTAACACATTGCTAAGCCACTGCGCCACGGAGCCATCAACAAAATTGAAACTTTTTTATATATTTTTTTTTTATAAGAGAGAGTGGAAACGAGCATACGGCTCACCTGATGGTAAGTGACTACCGCCGCCCATGAACAACCGTAACACCAGGGGAACCAGGGGAATTGCAGATGCGTTGCCGGCCTTTTAAAAATGAGTAATCTCTTTTCTTGAAGGTCCCTAAGTCGTATCGGTCCGGAAAAATCGCTGGCGGTAAACTATTCCACAAGGAAGTTGTGCGAGGAAGAAAACATCTTGTAAATCGCACCACAGTGGTGGACCGCCAATCACCCAGTTGGTGTGGATGGTATAGGGAGTTCTGCCGCGATGTGCGTTCGTGAAATTTGGCGGCTGGGATTAATCCGAACAATTCCTCAGAGCACTCCCCGTGGTTAATGCGAAAGAAAATTGATTCTTTTTTCATCGTTTTCCTTTTTTGTGATTCAGTTTAATTTTATTAAAAAAAAATTCTTGAGGCAAATTTTAAGTGACAACAATATAGATATTTACATGCTACTTATATCGTACGCAATATTACTTTAAAATAAAAACTTACGGACCTCGTTTTTCCAGAAATTATGAAAATTAGGCCATGTCTTACCTTGCTAAGAATAAGTCGCAATTTCCTTTGTTCGTCGGTTTCAAGCGCGTCAGCAGTCAGTGGACACGTTGTAGAAAGGTATTCACACAATTCACGATGCTGACCCTCGTGAAAATGTCGACCCTTGCCTTGGCTGTATAGCCATTCAGCTTTCAAACTAAAATACATGTTTTCATAAGTATATAATGTTATGATTAGGTCTTTGGTCTGCCTCTTCGGTCTAGTAGCCGGTAATCGTTACTGCTGATCATGAGGTCCAGGGTATGAATCCTGGGTTGGGCCAAAATCAGTTACTAGGTTTTTGTGTCAAGAAATTCTCAGTAGTATCCCGGACCTCGTGCCTCGGAAAGCACATAAAGCAGTTGGTCCTGCACCTGATCTCTCTCTCTGGTTGTGTCTGTTTAGGTTACGTTTATCGGACTATGCGAGTGAAGGTATAGATAGTGTAACTGTGTTTGCGCATACACTGGGGTACTATAATCCTATCCTCCGCATATGGCTAGTCTATGTTAAGACTGACATTATAACATTAATGAAATGCTTACATCATCATTTTATTTACATAGTAATTTAAATTTTATTTTATTACTTTAAGTAATAAAAGCATAATATTTTTTATAGAACAATGGTGATACAAAACGAGCTCACAGTCCACCTGATAAGTGGATGCTGTGATCCATAGATATCTACATCTATCATCGATTAAGGACCAAAAATGCAGATGCGTTGTCATCCCAGAGGACTAACTAAGATGGAAAGCCTCGTTTGCAGAAAAAGGGTCTCTGGTTCTCTATACTCACCATTCAAATCACAGCAGCATTAAGCTGCTATTCTGTGAGAGCGTGGCCCTTCCCCGGTCGAGGCGACCATTCGAACTACAATTAAGATATATCTTTTAAAAAGTATTACCAATATTACATTAGTTTCGGACTCCATATATTATGTATGTTTAAATATAACGTAATAAGGACTTACCTCTCTATAGCACTAACAATAAAACCATCTATAGTTTTAACACTCATGATCCAATTCAGCACAAATGGTCTGTAGTCAAAGCCGCTGTTGTGATGAGTTAAGAAAATTATGGAAGTTTAGGTATATACTATCACTAGATACCGTTGACGACGGGCAGAAGCGTAAAAAGATGCGTCAAGTATGGTATAGCTATCGATGTATGGTATTTAATGGACAATTATTATTTTACTCTTTCGACAACGATAATTTGTAAGTCACATTTTTAATATAGTATAGGGCTACAATCGAGAACACATTACACCTGATTGTAAGTGGTTGCTGTGACCCATAGGCATCTACATTTATCCTCAATACAGAATCAAAATGCAGATGCGTCGTCACCCGTGAGGACTAAGATGGACTGCATGAAGAGGATTGTGAAAGACCCCCCTTCACCGATGCTCGTATCAGTTAGAGGTAATAAAACCACAAGCAATTTACAAATTAATTTTTTTTTAATTTAAATTAAATTTTTTAATGTTCAAGTTTTTGGAAAAAAGTTATTTCTTTAGGTTTGAATATTAACTCTCATAACGCATTTAAAGGGAACCACAGGGCTTTTGTTACACGTTGTATATAAGTCCGCCACGCTGCAACAATGCGTGTTCGTGGACATAAGACGTCCTTAAAACCAGGGTTGGCATGAATAAATCATTATGATTTAAATCACGATTTGAATCAAATGATTTTTTCAATAAAAATCAATGATTTAATCAAAATTGTATCCAATATTTTATGCTGAACTTGTGGTTGATAATTATCATATTAAATAAATTATTTGCCGTTAAATCTTTTGAAGTGATATTTTTATTAAACCGTACGAAATGATATTTTTAACATATAGATGTAATGCTATTGAAACAGAAACAGAAACTTTTTTATTCAATATAGATTATAAATAATACTTATTGAAAGTCACTCTTTTGTATAATTACCACTGGTTCGAAAAAAAAACCTCTGTCCTGAGAAGAACCAGCAAGAAACCCAGCGGGACTTTTTTTCTAAATAACAGCTTACAATCATGTATGTTACACAAATTAACAACACAACAAATTAGAAATAGCTTGGTAGCGATCACCTCATTTCCAGGGGTTATTATCATCTATAAATTCTTTGATATTATAATAACCCTTTTTATACAAACTTAGTTTAATAAAGTTTTTGAACTTTGGGCAGGTCAAATTTTGTATGTTTTCTGGAATTTTGTTGTAAAAGCGCATACATCGCCCCAAGAATGAATTACTGACTCGATGGAGTCGAGTAACTGGTACTACTAGCTTGTGTCTGTTCCTAGTATTTACAGAATGAATATCAGTTATTTTTGTAAAACTACTTTTATTTTTGTGTACGTACGTTACATTTTCATAAATGTATTGAGAGGCCAAAGTTAATATATTAATTTCCTTAAATTTTTGTCGCAGCGACTCTTTAGGCTTTAAATTATAAATTGCTCTTATGGCCCTCTTCTGTAAAACAAATATATTTTCAGTGTCGGCTGCGTGTCCCCATAGCAAAATACCATACGACATTATGCTATGGAAATAGCTAAAGTAAACTAGTCTAGCTGTTTCAAAACTAGTTAGAATTCTAATCTTTTTTACGGCATATGCAGAACTAAGTCTGCTTGCTAGTTTTGATATATGGGGGCTCCATTGAAGCTTCGCGTCTAGTGTGATTCCAAGAAAAATGGTGGTATTTACAAGACTCAGTTTCTCCCCATTTAAAATTACATTAGTATTTAATTGTTTGACATTTGGAGTCACGAATTTCATACATTTCGTTTTAGTGCCATTTAAATACAAATTATTAACATTGAACTAATTTACTAATTTAGATATAGCATTATTTACTTCGTCATATTTTAGCAATTGTCGACTTAATTTGAAAATTAAAGAAGTGTCATCTGCAAATAATACTATATCATGGTTATCTCCTACTATGTAAGGTAAGTCATTAATGTATACAAGAAACAGAAAGGGGCCGAGAATTGAGCCTAGAGGCACGCCCATTTGTACCATCGACCCGGAAGAACTCATACTGTTAATGACAATTATTTGCGTTCTCTTACTTAAATATGAAATAATTAATTTAAGAGCATCACTTCTTACACCGTAGTGTTGAATTTTCCTGATTAATGTTTCATGGTGAACACAATAGAAGGCCTTGGATAGGTCACAAAATATACCCAAAGCATCCTGTGAATTCTCCCATGCACTAAATATATATTTAATCTGCTCAACACCGGCATCAGTTGTCAAGCGACCCCTTGTGAAACCAAATTGATTTTTATGAAGTAAATTATTTATATTAAAGAAATTTAACATTTGATCAAGAATAACTTTTTCTAAAATCTTACTAAGTGTTGGTAGTTCAGAAATAGGTCTAAAATTGGCGGGGTCTAATGTACTACCAGATTTAAATAAAGGTATTACTTTACTATACTTCATTAAATCAGGAAACACACCAGATTCGATACTAGTATTAAAAATAATGGCTAAATGAGGCGCGATTGTATCTATTATAGACGCAATAACTTTAACGGAAATCCCCCACAGATCCGCAGTTTCCTTAACATCAATAGTTTTAAAATATTTTACAATATCTTTTGATGATACTTTATGAAATGTAAAATTCTTTGTACACGCATTCACATTTTGTTTAAGTAATGATTCGGCGAAGGCAGTAGAAGAATTCAGTGACTTAGTGGTTAATATCGGAATATCAGTAAAATATTTCTCAAAAACCATTGCAACGTCCTGATCTGATTCGGTTAATTTGTTATTAACACTTAACTGGTAGTTTGAATTGTGAGAGTTGATCTTACCAGTTTCGCTATTAATTATACTCCATGTCATTTTAATTTTATTAGAAGCCATCTTAATTTTGTTGCTCAAATGCAAAGACTTGGCTGTGGAGCACACTCTTTTAAATATTTTCGAATATTTTTTTACATATTCCCTAAATTCGACGCTATGGTTATATGACCTTTCATGGTAAAGATCATATAACCTATGTCTGCTCTTATGGACTCCTATTGTGGTCCATTCATTAAATGACTCCCGACTGTTCAAGGAGAATGTTTTAGAAGTAAAAGTATTATTAAATTCATTGCAAATAAGCTTAAATAATGTTCCATACAAAAAATTTGGATCATTTTGATATGAAAGTGATGGAAGTTTTTTCACTATGTTACTTCTAAATTTCTCCAAGCGACGTGCATTTACTGGAACAAACACAACTTTCTCATCTACTTGCTTTTTGTGAACATAAGGTAACGAAATTACTTGTCCACAGTGATCAGAACTTAATTTTTGAATTATACATTTATGCAACGGCTTCACATTTGTAAAAATGTTATCTATACATGTTTCACTAGATTGAGCAATACGCGTTGGCTCTAAAAATAAATTAAAAAGACCATATTATTTAAACAATGATCTAAATTTAATATTGATTGAGGAAGCTTCTAGGAGATTGATATTAAAGTCTCCACATACTACAACAGATTTATTATGTTTATAAGCTTAGCAAAAACTTCCTCCATATTTTTTTCAAAAGTATCATATATAGAACATGGGGGTCTGTAGACGCTCACAACAATGAGGTACTCAAACTCAACACATGCCATTTCTACAGTTCGCTCAACAGAGAGGCTCACAATATCTTTACGTTCTTTACATGACAATAATTTACTAGCCAATATTAAGGAGCCACCTCTTAAAACCGTTTCTCTATTGAAAGAACTGACCACCTGGTGATTACTGAAGTTAAACATTAAGTTATAAGCTTTTAACCAATGTTCAGTAATACATAAAATATGAATATTGTTGCTATTTAAGAACAACTCAATTTCTAGCTCTTTGCCTATCATGCCTTGTATATTTTGATGCACCAGGTGTAAACAATTTTCATTATCACTCTGTGGAGTCATACAATTAAAGATTTGTAAGCTACATTCTAAATTATTTAAATTATTACAACTGCTAGAGATTACCTCTATTGTCTCATTTTCTAATTTAAATTACTTGGAACTGATTCCAAATTACATCTTAAGTCATTATACTGCTCAAAAGGAGCAGATGTCTGTGTAGCCAAGTCCTTGGCTGAGTTAATATATAAACAATAAGATAGCACATTTGCTATCTGTCTTAAAATATATTTAGATAGGTAATACCTATCTCTAGTCAAAAATTTCTTAATTAAATTATTTATGTCTATTAAATTAAATTAAATTATTGGTTGAGTTCATTAGTGGGTGATGTTAACTTTATGTACTTTGTTGTTACGCTATTGGCTGAAATATTACTCGTAGTTGGTATTAATTCAAACGAAGCGCGTCAGTTTAAAATTATTTTGTTTAGTTTACCATCAAAATATTACAAGGAATTTATATAAAAAGTTGGAGAAAAAATACTAGGGAAGTTAATTAAGATTTTTTATTTGGTTTTTTATTATTTAGTGTAGTGTACAATTATAAGATTTTTATTACGAGTTTAATTTTCACCGTTTATGATGCCGAGACGTAACACAGCTGTGGGATCATTTTGAAAAATGTGCCGGAACCGAAAAGATTGCAATATGTAATTATTGTAAAAATACTTTATCGAACAAATAATGTTTCTGAACATTAATAAGATATAACTAATAATTATGTCTACTTAATAAAAGAATGAATAAAAATAGTAAAATCATTTGAAAAGCAGAAAATATAAAACTTTTATATTTAGTTACCTAATAATCATCAACATTTAATAATAATCAACATTTTATTGTTAATTATATTGAATTAATAAACTTTTAAATACGCTTAGCTCTTAATATATTTAAGACTTTTTAATGCTAGAGAGTCCTATTCCTGTTAAAGTATGAAGAAATGTTTTTTGAATTAAAATTTCACGCGTAAAATTTAAACAATAAAATTAACATCAACCGATTAAAAATAAAAATTCAATACGAAAGTAAGTAATATTTTTAACTGTACATTTTATCTCTTAAAAAAATGAACAAGTAACTTTACAAAAATAAATAAATTTATCCATTAGCACCATGTATAATTCACATGTCAGACAAAAGGGAAATCCCCACGCTGTCTTCGCGCAATCCCTTGAGGGCACGTACCGTTTTGCGAAAAAAATATAGTTAAATTAAATAATAAAATGAAAAAAAAATCGTGATTAATTACGATTTTTTATAAAAATCATTATTTTTTCCAACCCTGCTTAAAACATTTCATTTCCTCACGGTGACTTCCTTCACCACCTAGCACTTGGTAAACACTTAAAATGTAATCAACAATTTTATTGGTGCAGCTGGGAATCACGTATAGCTACCACGACTCTCAAATTAATACCTTGTAAACATTATTTTCTTAAATTTATAAATTGTATTAAAAGGATACAGTTTATCCTTCCCAGATAAGGAGACACATGGATTACCCTGTATGCTAAAACTTTCGAGCTTTGATAAATGAACAAGATGGCAGATTTCATTGAGGTCTTTGATGTTGTTGTGTGCGAGCCCTAAATACTCTAGTCCTGTGGGTAGGTAACGATCGCACTGTCGAAGGTCTGTAATGCGGTTCCGTTCCAGGTTTAAATGCTGTAAAAGAACCATAAGATCATAAGACAAACGGAGTTTATAAACAAAGTGCATTGTATCCTCATGTTTGAGAGTATATGGTAAGGCAAAAAGCAAAATTTTCATTATCACATATTATTGGCGATATATATAGTGGTAGTTTGTGATATACCATATAAGCTTTTAGACCTTAATGTCTATCTTTAATACCAATGAATTTTGTTCTACTTCTGAATTTTGTTAAACAGTGGTAGAGCCACGCGGCAGCTTTTGCTGTCGCACGGATGGGCCGGCTCGAACTGGGGTGGTACCACGACCTCACAGAATACCAGCGTGAAGTAGAGGTTTACCTCTGCGTTTCGCTTGGTGAGTGCAGGTGGCCGGAGGTCCTTTTTACTGGAAATGAGGCATTCCATCTTGGTCCTCACGGGTGGCAACGCATCTGCATTTTGATTCGCAAACGAGGATAGATGTAGATGTCTATGGGCCGCAGCAACCACTTACTATCAGGTGGACTGTGTGCTCGTTTGTCACCCTTATCCTATAAAAAAAAATTCGCTCATAAAATTTTCCAGACAAAATAAATTTATTATTTTTAATTATCGATGTTTGATAATACTCAGTGAAAAAGAGTGGAACAAAACTAACAAAATCCGCAAGTGCACGAAGCGTAGTCAAACCGCGCGAGGAAGAGACATTATTGCGTTTGTATTAAAGAGTGGCACTGGTGCTAGATATAAAGATAGTGGTATTAATGAATGGCAACGTTGCAACAGCAAGCTAGCGCTAGTCAACAACATGAGACGTTGTCAGTTTCATCAATGAAATACTGCAATACCGCTCAAGCTTGTCAAGGTGTAGAATAGGCATAATGCAATGTTCCAGAGGACTGCTCAGTTCGAGACTCATAGTACAAAGCACACACAGCAGCATTAAGCTGCTATTTTAATCTATACTGTATTCTGTAAGTGTTGTCCTTCTCCGGTCGAATCAACTAATTTATGCTATAACCATAATATAGCTGCAGAGTAGCTCTACTATATTATATAATATTATTTCTTACCTTCAAGCCCTTCAAGTACGAAATGTCTGTTATAAAAGATATTTGATTGTTTGACAGGTCAAGGTGCTCCAAATGCATATTATTGTTCAAATGCTCAATTGACTTGATGTTATTACCTAAAATGAAAAATAAGTTATAAATTTTTAATTCATACACAACTAGCTGACTGTTGAGCATATGACGACTTTGGTCAAGTAACATTTTAGTCAGTGTACAATGATAAAGCAGTCAATCCAGCTCAATTGTCTTGAAATTGTTTTTTATTTTTTTGTATATATACTGATATATTACATACTAAACAAATCCTAATCACACCAAAACATAGCCTATGGAAATCGGGAATAGTCAACCATCACAGAAAGAATTTTCAGAATTAGATCAGAGAACATATAAAAAAACTTACATTCTTACAACCTCTTTAGCTTCAGAAACATTGTACCACTATACGAGATGCAAAAGCAGCAATTACAAGCAAGCACATGATAAAGCAGGTAGAGCATGTTATGGTTCCATTCCAACCACCTCCACCTCCATTCATCAGATATTTTTTATCTATGCTATGCAATATCTTAATCATTTGTGAACCAATTTTAATGATTTTTTATTAAGAGGCTATATTTCAAGGATGGTACCAAATAAATTTAAAGAAAAAGAAATCCACCATCATCTAAAGGTGAAAATATAGGGGATGAAGGTTTAAGCCTTCGATATAATTGGGGACAAAAGGAGCAGCATGTTGCGCAACATGTCGCTCAACAACTATGTGAAATGTCCCGAGACATGTTGTGGAACATTCTGCAGGCCACACTAGTCAGTGCAGATAGAAATGTCGCCGAGGAGGTTGTGGCGATTAGTACTTATTTCGGGAGTGAAACGTAAGCGAATGAGAAGGTGGTGGATGCGGTATTTCTTACTACAACGCGAAGAAAAAATAAGTAATATTTTAAGTGATCTTCGAATGTCTGACCGTATCATTGCAATAAGATACTTATCGACTGGAGATTCTTATGCTTCCTTGTCGTACACTTTTCGAGTATCGAGACAACTGATCGGCAGAATAGTATCAGAAGTTTGTAGTTTGAAGTATCCCACAACAAAATATGACTCTGATAAAACTCAAGAAGTAAAAGCACGGTTTCGTTTCCTCACAATACTGACATGTTGACACTGACGCGCGACACGTGCGCTCGCTCTCGGAGCGGGCACAAGCAACATGTCCCACGTCACGTAAAATGTTGCAGGTCACTGTGCAACGTTGCAACGTCACGTAGATTGAGTGTTCCGCGGCATATTACGGGACAAAATGTCCCCTAGCGTATCCGGTGCTTTAATGTAACAAATTTAGACAGCATTTAACATTATAGTTTCGAGTGCGCGCGTGCGTGCGTGCGTGCGTGTGTGTGTGTGCGCGCGTGTGTGCGTATGTGTGCGTGTGTGCGCGTGTGTGCGCGTGTGTGCGTGCGTGCGTGCGTGTGTGTGTGTGTGTGTGTGTGTGTGTGTCTCTATAAGTACCTAAGTAATTAAACAAAAACTGACTTTCAATAAGTAATATATATAATCTACTAGCTGGTACCCGGCGTGTTGGTGCCACAGAAATAAATAATTGTCAAATATCATTTTAAATACATTCATTAAAGTTGAGTGATGTATATCTTTCAAATAAATTTGATCATACGATACGCGCGCCACCTATTGTAAGTTGTATTATGTATATGTTGCCAAAGTTTTAGCATAATCTGATGAACCGTATAGCCGCTCATAAAATACGAACAAACAAAAATTAAATTTTATGTATTAGATATTGAATAAAAAAGTTTGTTTCTGTAGTAGAATAAGAATTTCATTTATATTGAACAGGACGATATTCAATTTTAAAAATTTCTTGCTCATTTAGGACATGCATTCATGATAAAAATCATGTGGCACTCAGTATATTCCATATATGGTTTGTGTGTTGCGCTCACTTCATGCGTCCGTTCATGACGGAAATGATATAGCACTCTGTATATTCCATATATAGTTCGTATGTTTTGCTCACTTCATGAGTCCGTTCATGACGGAAATGATGTAACACTTTTTTATATTCCATATAAGGTTCATGTTTGCTCACCTAATGCATCGGTTCATGACGGAAATATGTGGCACTCTATATATTCCGTATATGGTTCAAATGTTTTGTTCAATTCATGCGTCCATTCATTATGGAAATGATGTGGCACTCTGTATATTCCATATATGGTTCGTATGTTTTGCTCACTTCATGACGGAAATGATGTGGCACTTTTTTATATTCCATATAAGGTTCATGTTTGCTCACCTAATGCGTCAGTTCATGACGGAAATATGTGGCACTCTATATATTCCGTACATGGTTCATATGTTTTGTTCAATTCATGCGTCCATTCATTATGGAAATGGTGTGGCACTCTGTATATTCGGTATATGGTTTGCTTGTTTTGCTCACTTTATGCGTTGACTTTGAGAACGTCCTTATTCCGTATGAAATAATAGCGGATTTCGTAGAGCAACTGTTACACTTGATGAGCTTTCGGAGAAATATTTGTTATTTTTTTATAGAAGAGTGGGCATATGAGCATACGGCGCACCGACGGTAAATTTCGACCCCCGCCCGTGAGCAACTGCGACACTAAGGGAATTGCATGTGTGTTGCCAGCCTTTTAATAAAAGAGCAGGTTCTTTTTTTGAAGATCCGTAAGTCGTATCGGTCCGGAAAAATTGCTGGTTGTAATCGATTAAAGTAGTACGTAAATCGCACAGTGGTGGACCGCCAATCATCCAGATGTAATGGATGGTATCGCGAGTTTTGTCGCAATGTGCAATGGTTATATTGAGCGGCTACAATTAGTCTGAACAATTCCTCAGAGCACTCCCCGTGGTAGATGCAATAAATTAAGAAAAGAGATGCAACATCTCTTCGCAGTGCAAGTGAGTCAGTGATAAAGGGGTTTCTTTAAGTGGTAACCGCACAAACTTGTGTCTTCTGGGGATTGAAATGGACTAAATTTAGTCACCCCCAATGCGAGAATTAGTTTAACAAAGTCTCGCCCTACTTGGCAACGTTTTCCCGGGAAATATAGACACATCTGTTGTATAAAAGCATTAAGAGTGCTGTTGTCCATATAGCAATGAATATTACAGGTTTACAACAGCACGCAGCCATGTAGAATACCAGCGTTAATAGGCTTGTAATTGGAGCATGCACCGTCTACTACCTCCTTGATGATCCAATTTGCAAGAAAACTGGTGATCCAATTGCTCAATTTATCAGGAAGACCATAGGAAAGAAGCTTCCAAAGAAGCGCTTTGTGCCAAACCCGATCGAAGGCTTTCCCTATGTCCAGAGTAACAGCCAAGGCCTCCCGCTTGGACTCTACTGCCTGCGCCCATCTATGAGTCAAGTAGATCAGAAGATCACCAGCTGATCGACCCCGACAAAAAACGTATTGCAAGTCCCTAACCAGCTGGTGATTCTCAAGGTACCCCATGAGTGGGCAGTTTATAATGGATTCCATTATTTTGGAAAACAAGGACGTGACGGCAATAGGCCTTTAGTTAGACAGGTCTGAGTGGTTGCTTTTTTTTAGGGATCGGGTGCAAAGCTATCTTCCATGAATTCGGGTCTACGCCTAGGGAGTAGGAGTCGCGGAAAAGACGCGTTAAAACCGGCGCACATGTTTTCAGTACAATAGGAGGAACTCCATCAGGCCCACTCGACTTGTTGAGGTCCAGAGAGAGGAGTGCTTTGCGTACCGAGTACTGTGTAAACAGCTAATCCTGCATGGAGCACTCACACCGCGGAATGGTCGGCGGTGTTTTTCCCCCCGTCATCGAGTCGAGTTGGGCGCAAAGAGAGAGCCTAGCAGATCGGCTTTCTCCTTTGCGGCATGGGCCAGTGAGTCGTCCCTCCTGTTCAAAGGGAGTTATGGCTGACAGAATTTAAATAAAACTAATTTTACGGATTTTATCACGTATATTAACTTATTTTATATTCCCGACGTTTCGGGTGCTTTCCAGCACCCGTGGTCACGGGGGACTGAGGCGTTTGACTTCCTGCTCTCATAGTTAGCCCTGCTACCTTCATCAACTTCAAGCCGCTGAAGAAGATTGGTCAATTTTTACCATCCGTCAAGTGTCATATCCCTCTACAAGATGCAGGAGTGTACAAGCTGGATTGTGAATGTGGTCTCTCGTACATAGGACAAACAAAAAGATCTGTAAAAACCCATGTTAAAGAACATATAGCTGATGTGAAGCACTGACGTATCGGGAAGTCTGCAGTTTGTGAACATGTTCAAGATCACCTCCACCATTACATTAGATTTAATAGACCACAAATCCTCACAAAAGAACACCGATTCCTCCCACAGATGATTCGCGAGGCTATTGAAATTAAAAATCATTCTAATTTCAATAGAGAAGATGGATGGGTGCTGCCATCTGCTTGGGATCCCATAATTAATAAAATCAAATCCAAACCCAAGCATACCACTGCTAGACTTCAAGATACTGTAAGCTTATTCTGCGTAAATCGAACTAAAAATTAATTTAAAAAAACTGAAGGTAGCCGGGCTAACTATGACAGCAGGACGTCAAACACCTCAGTCCCCTATGACCACGGGTGCTGGAAAGCACGTGAAACGTCGGGAATATAAAATAAGATAATATACGCAATAAAATCCGTAAATTTAGTTTTATTTAAATGTGTAGTGTATGCGTAAATATGAGAAATCATTATGGCTGACAGAATTTTCATTGGACAGCCTTGGCGAGAGACTAGAATGCACATGTTCTCAAAGCAAATCAAATTAGTTTCTCGCTAATTCTGCCAATAATAAATTATGCACTGACTTGCCTTGGCAATGACACTTGAAGGACCTGGAGGCGGAATTATACTTGTTTTTAAGAGCCCTACAAACAGTATCCTGAGGCATTGATATGTCAGCTCAGGCGCAGTAGCACTTGCTTAAACCGTGATGCAATTTTACAGAAGTGACCAAACCATGCCTGAGTTCTGCCTCCGATAGGCACCACAAATTATTGAATAAAAAGTTCCATTCCCTGAAGCGAGAAGCAAACCCCCAAGGGGAGGATGCAAGAAAAGATTGCATGCTGACCTAATCGGGAAACCTACAGTGTTAAACACGAAGGCAACCTGCAGAATGCAACCGCAATCAAAGCGTGAGTGGCACCGTACTCTAGATCAGACAATGGTCCAAAGAGCCAAGAGGGGCATCCATTTGTGTCAGACCATATGCCAAGGCAAAGTCATAAATAGATCTACCCACATAATCGGTTAAATGGGAACCATGCCATTCAGCGTGTTGGGCTTTAAAAACACCAAGGATCACAATCTCTGCAGATGGGGCCTATTGTAGCATGGAGTTTGTAGCCAATTCGACATGGCTGCTGAGTCGGTCTGTGTCGGCATTACCAATATGGAATCTACAAAGGCATACATAGATGCAGGGATGATCCTAGCTGTCTACTCACAGCCATAGGATGGACAGGTCAGTATGGTATTTACAGGTATTCTTTGAGGTTGTGTACTACCCCGATTTGAGATGGCCCATCCATGCCACAACAAAAGCTGCCACTTAGCTCTACCACTGTTAAAAACACTTTTACGCCCCATATGAACGCTCTCTGCACGCCTTGCTGTATCAGATTGTGACATTGGGCTTTCCTTGGTTACATACTACGTTCATTACTATATTAGTTTTTAGATTGTGGAGAAAATAAAGAATTTTTATTATTATTATATATACAAGCAACTCATATTTCTCTATTTCATTAAGATTGGAGGTAGCTTAAATATGAGGAGCTTGAGGAGTAGTAAGATAAATGTGTTCTAATATTTTTGTTTTACATTTACAAGTCACAATCAGAATCTTTTTGTATAATTACCCTATTAAAGTACACTTGCTGATGTTTATAGTACTAAATAATCTATAGTAGTAACAAATATTTTTTTTTATACTCACCGGCTAATTTCAACACTTTCAAATAAATAAGATCCTTTAGACCCTCAATTTGTAATATTCCATTGTTATTTAATGCCAGAACCCTGATGTTGACTAGACGAGATACACCATGCATCCTTAGCAAAAAATTGTTGCATATTGACAACTGTAAAACAAAAGTTATATGACTTGAAAAATTTTTTTATACTCTTGAAAAATATTGAAATGTAATAATGCCTTTTACATCAAATAAAGCCTTGACTTTACAATCATAAAAAAGTACTCAATGACATCATATTTTTAAATTATAACATTTGAAATTCAAGATAAAATATAAGCTTTTTACTAACTTTGTAATAAAGTCCATTTTCAAACAAAGAGCTTAAAATAATAGTAATAATATATAAACAAGAAAAAAATGAAAAGCACAATCACACACAATTTAAACCTAAAATAATAAAACATACGATTAATGTGTTCATTTATATAGAAATTTACAGAAACCAAAGGTATTACGTTTTCAACACGGTTGTAACTGTCAATGTTGTCCAGACGCTGCAGTTCATTTTGATCGAGGATCAAATTAAAAACAGTTTTTGATTCTTCTGGAGGCGCTTTCTCTATTTTCTTTAGCCCACGCCTAGAGAGATCCAGTGTTTCATTTTTCGTTTCCTCTGTTAAATGATTTAAAGAATCATAGGTAAATCAAATACTATTGAATGATTTTTTGCGCACCGTTACTTACCCATTTTTCGTATATTTACTGCATTATTTACTATTACAATGGAAATTGTTTTTGTATTGTCCTTTAATTCATTTATTAAATTGACCACAGACTAAATTGACGCATTGAAGTTCTGTTGTTGTTTTTATTATTTGCTCGAGAGAGCAGGCAAAGGAACTAAGCCATACAGCCTTATCTTTTTAATTTCGAATATTCCTTCATAGTTCACTTATTCAAAATATGCTGATGCGTCACATTGTGCAGCCCTTGGGAGATTTTGACGGCAACTTGAGCCAGCTGACAGTTGGCGATGGTATCTTTTTTTTATAGGAGAGGGGGCAAACGAGCATGCGGCTCACCTGATGGTAAGTGACTACCGCCGCCCATGAACAGCTGCAACACCAGGGAGGGAATCGCAGATGCGTTGCCGGCTTTTTAAAAGGGAGTACGCTCTTTTCTATTATCTAAAGGCGCTTAAACACAAACAGCTTATCTTGTGAATCCATCACCATGAGAGCACTTGTTTCACCGTTTCCACTAATAGTTCACATGCATAGATAGTTAATACATAAAATCGCACCACTTTTACATATCAAAATCCACTTCAAACTATTATTCAAACTATAATACAAGAGTAGCAAACAGCCGCCGGTCAAGTTCGCGCCAAAACCCACTGGGTTCTGAATATGACAATCATAGATTGTTGCTGCTATTTCGATTTGCTGATTTAGGCCGGCAAAGGTCTTAGACCACACAGTATAGTCTGACTTGAATTTTGTTCACAAAACTCTTTACAATTAGTTGAAGCGTCACACTACAAAATTCTTAAGAGATATTGGCGACAGCTTAATCCAGCGCACAGTTGATGATAATAATATCTCAGGGCTCTTAAGTGGATAAAAACCTGAGATTCATGTAATATAACCATCGAAGCACTAGTTACATCGTTCCAACTGATAATTCACATGCGCAGACATTAAATACATAAATTGCACCATTTTACGTATTGAAATTCAATTTGAAATTAAATAATAAAATAGGAGCAGCAATCCGAACTTCTTCACAATATGCTGACGCATCTCACTGAACGTAGTGATTATATTCTCTTTGATGACGACAGTTTTACCTTGCGCACAGTCAGTGACGCTAGTATATTTAGGCTGGCTTTTCACTATGGGATATAATATATATTATATCCCGCGATTGACTTTCACACTGTGAGATATATCTTTTAACCACTGTGCGTTCGTCATTGGTCATTGGATTACCCCCCTTTACCCGGTACACCGTTCTGCGAGGGCGCGGAACGGTGTGCGGGGTGCAGGGGGCGAAATATAATATGAAAATATCGCTCGGTCGATCGAAAAAATATTTATAGCTTGAGATGTAATATATATTATAGCTCAGTATACGGTTCCATATGAAATGTAATGTGAGCGATATTAATATATATCTCGAGATGTAATATATACTATAGTATACCCCATAGTGAAAAGCAGGCTTGAGTTCTTAAGGTGAAAGCTCCAGGGTGGCCCGCGAAATTTAAATTTTCTTGCGTTGTTTGGAATTTGCAATTCAGGGTGAGGTTGTATTTTTAACAAAATATGATTCGCGACCGTAACAAGTATGTATTTACAGAATTATAATCATTATAATCATCAATACAACCCTCTAAGTTTGTATAATCCCATTATATGGCTATTTCCAGAAAAACTCGCCACCCTGGAGCTTTGACCTTAACATATTAAGGTGAAAGCTCAAGGGTGGCCCGCGAAATTCAAATTTTCTTACGTTTTTTGGAATTTGCAGGTTAGGGGCAGGTTGAATGTTTAACAAAATATGATTCGCGACCATAACGAGTATGTGTTTACAGAATTATTATCATTAAAATCACCGATACAACCCTCCAAGTTCATATAATCCCTTTGAATGAGTTTTTCTAAAAATAGCCATACAATGGGATTATACGAACTTAGAGGGTTGTATTAGAGAGTTGTATTAGAACGTGCGAGTGTGTGTATCACATAGCCCGTTACGCACCTTTGTTAAGACCGCTTCTAATGTAGGGTTAGGTATGTTGTTAGAAAACACAAAGAATCCTTTGATAATAGTTGGTATATAGTGGAATATACCGAGGTGTTATGCAATTTATTAGTATTTTTTTTTATTTTTTATTTTGTTAAAAAAAAACTACCCTCACACTAGGATTTTCTACGGTATCGGGAAGCCAGTTAACAAACATAAATTGCACAAGGACAAACATTTAGACCCGCAACACTTATTTGTACACAATCCGACTGTTTGATATTTGATGATTCTATTTTTATATGAAAGCTGATGCTTATAATTTATACATCCCACATAAATTTGATCAAGATCTGACCAGTAATTTTGGAGTTATCCTTAATAATGCGTATTAGTATTGAAGTCGGTTGTACAAAATTTTTAATTTCATTAGTTATTTGTCTTCCTCTCTTTTTAAAAAACGTTACCTCCACACTAAGATTTTCTTCTGTATCGCAGAGACAGGTTACATACATAGAACAGACCCACAACATTTATTTGTAGGCCATACAAATATTTGTTTGTTCCGTCCGGGATTCAAACCCACGGCCCTTAGCGCTGCAACTCATTATGAATAAAAACTCAAAAATAAATATCAAGTGCCTAAATACTTAATACAGGAAAATAAATTTTATGTTAACGTAAGGCGCGCGTCGGCTCGAGAAGGCGCGTGACAACCTCACGGAATTAGCCCCGCATACGGAACCGTGCAGCGTAGGTATATTCTCATTTCTAAAGCGCGGCGTGAGACAGACCTGATAATACGGACACCCGAGCGCAGCACTAAAGTTTTATTTGGCTTTCATGCGTGATTTATCTCATTAATAATAATTATGTAGGCAATTTTTTTAAATAATGGTTTTAAGTGGATTTTGATACGTAAAAGTGGTGCGATTTTGTGTATTAAATGCCTGCGCATGTGAACTATCAGTGGAAACGGTGAAACAAGTGCTCTGATGGTGATGTGATTCTCAAGATAAGGTGTCTGTCTGCTTAGGCACCTTGAGATACCGTCGCCAACTGTCAGCTGTCTGCTGGCTCAAGTTGCCGTCAAAATCTCACAAGGGCTGCACAATGTGACGCATCAATATATTGTGAAGCAGTGTACTATGAAGGATAATTATACATAGTTACTTCAGGCTTAGAAGGGCTAGAACCAAGAGCCGTAAAGCCAGTAATTAAAAAAACATGTGTTCAATGAATACATGTTTTTTAAAGGTGGAAACTCGAGGGTGGCCCGCGAAATTTAAATTTTCTTGCGTCTTTTGGAATTTGCAGGTCAGGGTCAGGTTGCATGTTTAACAAAATATGATTTGCGACCGTAACGAGTATGTATTTACAGGGTTATAATCATTATAATCATCAATAGAACCCTCTAAATTCGTATAATCCCATTGTATGGCTATTTCCAAAAAAACTCAATCAAAGGGATTATGTGAACTTACAGGGTTGTTCTGGTGATTTTAATGATAATAATTCTGTAAACACATAATCACTACGGTCGCGAATCATATTTTGTTACATATACAACCTGACCCTGACCTGCAAATTCCAAAAAAACGCAAGAAAACTAAATTATATTTTACAAATGTACACTCAGGCATTTGTTAGCACTTGTCCGTAAAATGATCCCAAACGACACTGCTGCAATTTTTTTTAAACAATAAACACTTTAATGTCTAATAAAAAAAAGTGAAAGTTCTTTAATCACATAACAAAACTTTGTTATGAAAATCTATTACTAAATAAGTCGAGCAGGTATCATTCAATATGGTGCCGAGATCACATTCGCATGAGTTTGTACTAGACAACAGACATTCGACTACATCATATGGTCTCCATTCGCATCAAGTATTTACTAGTACCTAGTCTATAAAATATTCCTAGTATTTGGTTGAAGTCCTCGGGACTAGTCCCGACTAGTCTCGAATATTGACAGACAAAGATAGAAAGACTGCGGAATAGTGTAGTTAAAAAAGGACAGAATATATTCTTGCACAACACGAGTGCGCGTCGAGTTACTTTTATACACACTGAAATATAGTTCAAATTCAAATGACTGACACACGAATGATTTAGGTAAACACGAGTGAGCGGCAAAGCAGACTAGTAACTATGGCAACAAAATGCTATCTTGCTTTGCCGCGCCTGTACTTCTACTTCTTCGATTCTAGCGTGCCGCCCCGTTGTGCCGTGCGACGCGTAGGCGTTTTTATACGTGATAGAGCCATGCTGCAGCTATATTATGGTTGTAGCACGAATGTGTCGGCTCGACCGGGGAAGGACCATGCTCTTACAGAATACCAGCGTAAAATAGTAGCTTAACGCTGCTGTGTTTCGTATGGTGAGTGTAGAGAACCGGAGACCCTTTTTACTGGAAACGAGGCGTTCCATCTTAATCCTCACGGGTGACAACACATCTGCATTTTGATTCTTAATCGAAGATAGATGTAGATGTCAATGGGCCACAGCAGCCACTTACCATCAGGTGGATTGTGTGCTTATTTGTCACCCTTATGCTATAAAAAAGGCACAGTGAGACTGTGCCTTTTTTATAGCATAAGGGTCGATCAAGTATTTTAAAAGCTGGAACAGGTGCAACCTAGTCTCGTTTAATACCTAGTGCCTAGATCTGTTCTAGTGTATACGCTTCATCTCTAGTGTTCATGGAGTCATGTATAGACTTAGAATTGTTATATTTTCGGAACCTTCATGAAATGAAATAAAAAATATTCATATAACATGTTCCTGGGAACGTAAGCTATAGCCTACCTGGCTTTTAATGGATTTCAATTAAAATGTAAAAATCCCAGGTGACTCTACCGATAAACTTAAAAGAAACTCCCTAAGCATCAGATCGGAAAGTTGTATTTTCGAGTTATGATCTATGGAGAAAAATATGTACTACCATGGACAGTTTCCCCGAAATTTCTTTTCTAACATATTGTTTAACTAGCTTGCTACATATATATTTATCTATGTGTTTAACCTAAAATTAACGCGTCCTAACATAGACGATGTCTTGAGAATTTACCTGTGAAATGTGCAACCATCAGGTTTATTTTTATTATTGACACCACAGTCACTAACGGAACATTTTGGAAAACTATAAACTATATAATTAACACTATTATGATAAAATAAATACTATTGCGTGTCGACTTGTGCCGATCGGTTACAGAGTCATAAGATTTGGTATCTTTTTCTATCTTGCATTTTTGCCATAAGGAATTTTGCTTCTACCTTGCACACTTATACGTCTATACGCTAGTATATTATAGTCTATGACGTACATACTTGAGTTTGTTTGTGTTAGTTTAGCTTTAGTTTTATTCATATAACCTCTCAGCTGTGGGAAACTCAAAATGAAAATTGTCATGTCTGTGTGGCTGAATGGGCTGAATTCAGCCACACCACAGACGAGAGGATAAAAAGTACTCTGTGGTTTTATTTTTAGAATTTTAGTTTTTTAGTCTGTGCTAGAAGCCCAATGGTAGTAGGCTAGCAGGTGAGGTTAGCCTCTTTTTAAACGAGATAAATGTTTTCATGAAGCATAACAACATACTTTTAATCAAAACAATGTTTTAACTAATTGAATACTTAAATACAACAATATTTTAAGGCAATAATAATATCATTCATTCAAGTTTGAACTTAAATCAAAAGGACGCGCTGTTTGACATTTCTTTTGATTTAGTTTGTTTTATTTATTATTTTTCTAATTCTTCATCTCTTAGAAGATTATTAATGCTCACGCCAAATCAGAATGTATTGATTTTTATGCTATATGTTTTCATGTTCACATTGTCTTGGGCTATTTTTAGCTAATGTAACCTCTCCTTTAGGCGGGAAAAATGGCTTTGGTAAGGGACCTACGGCCACTGCAAGTAGTCTCCATTATCTTCTTCGTGAGAATCCTGTCAGTCTTCTTAGTACAAACATGGTATGTGCCAGATGAATACTGGCAGAGCCTGGAAGTGGCTCATAAGCAAGTTTTTGGTTATGGAGCACTCACTTGGGAGTGGCGAAAGGGCATAAGGAGTTACTTATATCCCAGTATATTTGCTGCACTGTATACTGTTCTCAAAATTACCGGATTGGATTACCCTGAAGCTGTGGTATGTTATGTCAATTTTTCTTAATTACTAACTTTTATGGTGACTGAAATCAAATGATTTTTTTTTATATTTTCATAAAAACATTTGAGGTCGGGAATAATCTAAATGAACTTGTCTAACCAAAAAGTATGTCTTTTTAAGATTAATCCCGAATAATAATGCATAGATTGTTCTTTTTATTTTTTTATTTTTATAAACGGTACTCCCACACTAGGATTTTCTCATGTATTGTGGAGTTTACAAACATAAGTTGAACAAGAAGAAACATCCAGACCTGGAACAATTATTTGTATTCCATACAAATACTTGTTCCGTGTGCGATTCGAACCCGCGGCCCCAGCGAAGCAACTCATTGCTAAGCCACGGAGCCGTCATGATTAAATATAAGTATTGTTGTATCTTGTACTAAATTCTTACTACCCATTTTTTCTAGTTAATATTTTTTTTTAGGTTTTACTTCCTCGTTTGTTCCAAGCTGCTGTCAGCACTGCAGCAGATTACAGCTTTTATAAATGGACAGGAGGCCGAAAATGGGCTTTATTCCTAATCCTGACACCGTCATTTTGGTTTTACACATCAGGAAGAACTCTTTTGCAAACCATGGAAACTGCCTTTGTTGCTATTGCCTTATCAGTATTTCCATTTAAAGATGGAAAGCTTGGTTATTATGAGAAAGGTAAATTAGTAATGTTTTATTCAAATTTAAAGCTATAAATTGTAGATTTTGTTAATATATTTTTTAGTGTAATATAAGAAATTATGAAAATTTATAGTACTCAAATTTATTACATTATTGTGCAACACAAACAACTATTTATAAGATATCTGAAATTTGACTATTGTTACCAATATAGCCCAACAAATCATTAATCTAAGGGGTAATTGGAAGGAAGACAACTGCAGATGAGCCAAATGCCAGTAGTTAATAGTAGCAAGTGGCTCAATATCTTTTGGTGGTTATCTGTTATACCAGGTTGTTACATAGGCTGCACTAAAAGTATCCGGAATGGAATATTTCCACTGTTCCTGTCATATTAAAATCTTTTTAATTGAAAACTCCTTGGTTTTAAAAATCGAATACCATTTATTTATTTAAAAAAAAGATTCTCGGTCTTGTCACAAGGTTTTGTCAAACTTGTTAAGTTGTTGAGAAAATGGAATTGACTCAGGCGTAGGACAGTTGCCTTGAACCACAAAAATTTAATGGATAGTGGCGCCATCCATAACTTGTTTCCAAAAATAATTTGTTTATAGTTGGTCTTATGGCTTCACAGATGTCGCTACTTTGGAAAAATAAAATGAAATTTACTTACAAAATAAAAATAAGTGCACCAAAAAATTATTGGTGATTTTATTGATAAAAAATTATAATTTTAACATAAAAACACGTAATAATTATCGAATCAATCGATAAATATGACAATTATGATACTGGCAACCAGCATTTTATAATAAAAAATAAAAATAAAAAATGAAATAATTGTCATATTAAATTGTCATTCCTGTAACATCGCAAATACCCTTTTTATATATTATTATCTCACAAATACAAGTGTACTTATTGAAACTATTTACCTACTTTTAATATTAAAAGTATAAATTATTTTACAAAAAAAAAGTAAAAATTGTTTCAGTAAGTATGCGAATTAAAGAACATAATAGTTAAATTAATATGATGTACATAATATAGCTATATATAGCGAATTAGTTCGGATTCAATTTGTAGGAGACGCTAGTAGTTCAATTTTGTCTGCAATAAAATATCGTCAGAGGGCTCTCTTTTCCTGTATATACTTATTATACTCTTTGAATTGACTCGAGAAAATTCAAGAGCGATGATTTATTATGACTTTCGAAGTGGTTTAACACAAAAACAGTGTGTTGACCAGATGATTTCTGCATTTGGTGATGAAGCCCCATCCAAAACCACAATTTATCGCTGGTTTGCTGAATTTCAACATGGACGTGTCAAGCTCAGTGATGATCCCCGTCAAGATCGTCCAAAAACTGCAGTCACCCAAGAAAACGATGCTGTGCGTAAGCTGATTGAGGAAGATCGACATGTGACATACCGCGAAATTCAGGCAACTTTAGACAGAACTCTCAATGATTTCTTGAAATTTAGAGAGAGAGAGAATTATTAGACCATCCACCGTACAGCCCCGACCTAAGCCCTAATGATTTATGTACTTTCTCTAAAATAAAGAATAAATTGTGTGGACAGAGATTTTCATCACCTGAAGAAGCTGTGGACGTCTACAAAACGGCCATTTTGGAGACCCCAACTTCAGAATAGAATGGTTGCTTCAATTATTGGTTCCATCGTATGGAAAAATGTGTCAAATTTCGCGGAGAATACTTCGAAAAGCAATAAATACATTTTTAAATAGTAATGTTGTGTCACTTCCTTGATTCCCGAAATTTTCAGTGCCGCCTTCGTATAATACTTTGTACACTCAAGAGTAAATAAACGTAAAACAAGAAAAAACTGTCTTCAATAAACTAAAGAGAATAAAATATTTTATGCATAAGTTAATAATAGCCTTTTAAGTTTGATGTCAATTCTTCTTAGAATGTGAAATTGTTACATCAGGTTTATGCAGGCTATGTCAGATAGATATAGGAGCTATTCAGATAGATATAGACTATGTTAGGTAGGCATAGGCAAAAAATAAGTAGGCTCAATGTGATCAAATGCTACATCATTTCACAATCTACAAAGTACTTTTAACTATAAAAAAATATTGTGAAAATACAAATTGATTAAAACAATATTTTTAAAACATGAATGCCCTTACAATGAATTACAAAATATATTTAATATTTTAGTTCAATGAAAGGGGCATTAAAGTGTAATCCATTGTAATTCATCATTCATTAAATTACGTTCAACAGAAAGTAATAAATGGGTTTGGCTGGCCTGTGTATCGACCTTCCTGCGTCCTACATCTGCACCAATTTGGTTGGTGTTGGCCATCTACAACATAATGACCACAAATCAAGAAAAATTTAAGTTATTGACACATACATATATTCCTATTGGGTGAGTAATCATCATTAAAATAAAAGCCTTACTTCTTATGTTTTGGTATCTTAGTATATATATAAAGTTCTCCAGGCAGAATTTCTGTACACCTCCACCCTGCAGTATATTATGGCGGCAGAACAAATGGGTCGACTGGGGAAGGACCACGTTTCCACAGAATTCATGTGAGTGACGAGAAACGTTTTACTGGTAACAAGGCATTCATTCTATCTTAGTTTCCAGAGATGACAATGCATCTGTAGTCCTTTTGTTTGAATCTTGCTGCAGGTGTCCATGGACAGCATCAGCCACTTACTATCAGGTGGACTGTAAGTTGGTTTGTCACTTAAGTAAAAAAAAACTTTGTATTGTTTAAATATTAAATGGCTACCGTTTGGTATGGTTAGTAATAGTCGACATATGTTCCACTGCTGGATATTGGTGTCTCATTACTAAGACAATTTTTGGTGCAAGAGTCCCTGCTTTGAACCTACGTAAGTATCTATCTATCTAGGTACCTCAAGATATTTTCTTTTATCATTGAGCATGTGGAATCTGTACTTAAAATTGTAATATAAATATTTGTGCCAGTGGATACTGAACTTGGGTTAGACTACATATATATAAATTTTTAAGGGTTATTGATCCCTGAATGTCCCCTCCAATGCTTATGATATTACTATTTTTATATTTTCTATTTATTTTTCAGATTTCTTGTTGGTGGGGCGCTGGTGGCTTTGGATTCTTATTTCTATGGCAAACTAATAATTACTCCATGGGAATTCTTTAAATTCAATGTTCTGCAAGATGTTGCTTCCTTCTATGGAACACACCCTTGGTAAGTGTATATCATAATGTTTGTAATATCACACCATAGTCACCGACATCCACTACTCTATTCATACGACCTAATTTGATGTTTTTTTTTAATTTTATGTGTCAAATAGAAATAAAACTGCTATCAAATGGGCAGTTACAAAATATTTAATTAAGTATTACAAACATGCTTATTACTGGATGGTCGAAATTATATTCTTGTCTGATTTTTTAATAGTTCAAAGCAGATGTCCAGTATCAGAAACACTACCAATTAATGCATCTAGATCTGAAAACCAATTATGTGTTTTTTGCATTTTCTCCATACAAACTTTAACTATTCCAAATTTTGCACTCCTTAAATATGCTTAAAAAGGGGTCTCAATGTTTTCCCTTCACATATTAATATAATAGATGTGTAAGTTTTCAAATGTTTTTCCTTGTTTACTCCCAATAATTTACCTTCATGCCAAATTTCGAGTTTCTAAATCGCTTAAGGTTAGGTTTTTGAGGAGTGTGTCAATGAATGATAAAATGCCACTCTTTAGATCTTAATAACTCAATAACTACTCGTATAATGGGTTTATTCGTGAAATTTAAAATTCTAAGTGAGTTTGTGGGACGGGGGAGGGGGGGAGGAGAAAATAAAGGCAGTTCTAAATGGTTTGCTAAGTTGGCTGATACTCTACCATGTGTTTAAACTTTGTGGTACATTAATGTGATAGAAAATATATTAAAAGTAAAGCTATACCATTTAACATTTCTTCTAGGTATTGGTACATCACAATTGGCTTACCAGTTGTACTGGGCATCAACATTATACCAGTTTCGTGGGCCATCTATAACATTCTGAACCGACGAAAAGAAAATAAGACTGGCTTGTTACTATTGGCCGTGGTCATATTGCACATAGCTGTTCACAGGTCAGTATCATCAGCAGTATAGTCTGTTCGCTTAGATACGGTCGCCTTTTGTCGCGCCGTCTCTGAACGTTCCGCATCTTGTATAAGGCACCGCTCCGACATCTAAGGTCACCGCGTGTGGCGTACACCGGCAGGAAAATTTTGCATTTTAAAACTAAACAGTTCTTTGCTACCTAACTTGTGTTTATTAATTATATTCAAATTGTATTACAATAACCATAAGAATAAAATATTAGGTCCTTACATATGAAATTAGCCTTTTGTCGTACTGACCACTTTGATCTGAAATATCTCCTCTTTGGTTAAGAATTCCAGATTCAAATTTATAAATTCATTTAGCTGGTACATTTGAGTTTTGAAAACAGTCATTCATTTGTTTTTTCTTCATTATTGTTTTCTTTGTCGTCGCTTATTAACGCACAATGAAAAACATGAAATATCGGTATATTTACAAGTACGAGTTCTACCGTGGCACCAGTGCTGCAGAAACAGCTCGAAGGATTAATGATGTGTATGGCGCTGGTGTCGCAAAAGAAAGCACGGTACGTTTTTGGTTTCAACGTTTTCGTTTCGATTTTAAATAGAATCATTACTTGTGATGAAAAGTGGATACTGTACGATAATCGGAAGCGCTCGTCGCAATGGCTGAACCCTGGAGACCCAGCCAAATCCTGCCCTAAACGAAAATTTACTCAGAAACAGTTACTTGTGTTTGGTGAACTAGCACCGGTGTCGTTCATTATATCTTTCTAAAATCTGGCCAAACGATTACGGCAGATATCTATTGTCAGAAACTGCACATCATGAAGGAAGAACTAACTGCTAAACAACCGAGATTGGTCAGTTGCTCTAGACCACTGCTGCTTCACGACAACGCAAGACCACACACTGCACAACAAACAACCACTAAGTTAGATGAGCTACAATTGGAATGTCTGTGACATCCACCGTACTCCCTGGACCTTGCTCTAACAGATTACCATTTTTTCCGGAATTTGGACAACTTCTTATAAGGGAAAAAATTCAACTCCGATTCGGCAGTCCAAACCTCCTTCAAGGAGTTTATTGATTCTCGCCCCCATGGTTTTAGTAGAGGGATTAATGAACTACCTATGAGATGGCAAAAGTGCATAGATAACAACGGTGCATACTTTGATTAATTAAATATATTTTACAAAAAAAAAAATGACTATATTCCTCCCATACAAAATGCCGGTTGTCGGTATGTCGGTTACTTCAAAGAGCCAATGGGAAGAAATGTTTTCGAATGGCAACCTCGTACCGGTTAGCGAAATGTAGTGCGGCCCCCCACTAGATGGAGTGAAGATCTGATGAGATATGCAGGAAGTCGATGAATGCAGGTGACTCAGAATTGTGCTTTCCTTGCGGGGGAAAGCCTATGTTCAGCAGTGGACTTCTGAATGGCTGTAATGATAGTGATGATAAAGGTGATGGAATCTAAACGGGAACCACAGGGTTTTTGTTACATGTTGTATAATTTTATGAACATTTTTAGGTCATTACCACACGGCAATATGTAAATGTATTTTAACTCAAACGGTTCTTTGTCAGATTCAACTTAGGTTTTTCATAAAGTTTGTTTGAACCATAAATGAAGACAATGGTTATAAAAGCTCTTTTAGTATCAAACGAGTATATACTTCTGAAGAGATCGTTTAAGCTGAAACGACGCGCCTCTCTACAGCATTTACGCTCAACGCGAAATTCAAATCAAAAGTGATTTAATTTTTCTTGTAGTTAGAAGTTTTAATATATAAATTTTCTTTTTTTCATAATTTAAATGTAGTAAAAACAAGATAAAAAGGACTCAAACTGAGCATAACTTCATGGTATTATCCATGAAGCTGGTTATCAGTGCTCCCTCTAGTGAGTAACTTGTAGTCATATGTTTTTTTGCACCTGCAATTTCACTGGTGTTGCAGTTGTACATGGGCGGCGGTCGACACTTAGCATCAGGTGAGCTGCATGCTCGTTTGCACCCCCTTATCAAGCCGGATACGTGATATCACCTTGTGGTACTTAAATGATTAATTGCACGGGAAAATATATTATGAATCCTTAATTAGAGGAATTAAATTAGCTTACCGAGATGCTGGATGTTAGGCGCGATTACCGGGTAATCATTACCCCTTTCTATATGTACATCTAGTACGTCTATATGGTTATTTTGCAATATATGCCTTAATTTGCATAGAAGGTTAATAATAATAATAATAATAAGTAATATAGGCGAATGTTGAAGAACAATTAATAAAAAAAATCTCAAACATTGTCTTATTTATTTTACTATACTCGCACACATTCGTAAGGGTCGCTCGATCGACAAGAACGTTGTAAATTGAATCGCACACAGAGGAGCGCGCGTACGCGTAGTTGTTACCCATAAATTCAATACATTTTGCGATAATTTCAAATAAAAGTAGGATCCTTATTTACTCGTATTTTTAAAAACTGCAATAACAATATGTCATTATTTATATGTTTGAACCTAAGTATAAAATTTGTATACTCTTTGAAAAATAACCGTGTATGTGCCACAATTGGTACAACTTTGTTTCTGCTAATAAATTAGTGCTTTTATTTTCATATGTATATATTAAATATTAATATATTTCTTACAGCTACATACAGCACAAAGAGTTTAGATTTGTTCTGCCACTTCTGCCAATTTTTATGTATTTGGCACAAGCTGTGATCGTTCCATGGAGCAGGAAGGCTGAGAAGTAAGTTGTTTAAAGTATTTTATTAAAAATACAAAAGAAGTAAGCTTAAAAAAAACTACTACTACGCGGTTACGCGAACTCCATACCATCTCGTGGGTGTCGTAAGAGGCGACAGAGGTAAACAAATCACTTGATGGCCAGCAGTGTCTTCCTAATAATGACTAGAAATAAAAAAAAAAAAACTCCAGTTGTCAACCAGCCTGCCAAGTGTGGCAACTATAGCAAATATCCTCACTACGAGGCAATATAAGGGGGAGACCTGTGTTTAGCAATAGACTTTAATAGGTGGTAATGGTAATATTAAAAAATATTAAATTGTATCTTTTTTCTCAGATGGCAGTTATATTTGGTTGCTGGTACTTTACTTCTGGGAAATGCGGTGCCAAGTGCTTACCTTGGGCTAATTCATCAAAGTGGGACTGTCAAAGTGATGCCATTGCTGAGGGAAGCTGTCTCAAACAATAATGGGTCTTCAATTTTGTTCATGATGCCATGCCACTCTACACCGCTATACAGGTGATTGAATTTTAAGTATAAACCGCGTATATTTTTAACAAAAATGAAGTGCTGAGAATTATTGCAATAGAATACCACTTCTTGTAAATTTCGTAGTGAGCGAGGCAAACTGGACTTAATCCACACAGGCATTAATGAAATTGTTGATTGCAATTTTAAGTGCTGCTTAGTATGTGTAGTGTAGGGAAACATTGTGAGGTTAATCTGTAGGTCAGAAAATTTTTAAAATATATGTATGCATATATTGAAGACATGTGAAGTTCGCTAACCCGCATTGAGGCAGCATGGCGGACATTGCCTTACTCAGGAACAGTCAAGGGGTGGTCCTATAAGATGGTTGGTTAATAAAAAAAAACTTAAAGCTGACTTCAAGAAACTAAAAACAATAACATAATTTCACACTGAAGTCTGGTGCTAAGATATACTGTATAGAAGAATGAAAGTCCCGACTCCAGAATGTCAAATTATTTTATTATTTTTAGTTCTTTAAAGTCGGCTTTTCCTTTTTATTAAAAGTAAATTTTAACTGAAAGCAAACTAAAATATATTTTTGCTTTCAAAACAATTCTTTAAATAATAACGCTTATTTCTTCTTGTTGTTAGCCATCTGCACATGAATGTGACAACACGGTACCTGAACTGCGATCCGCCAACGGTCCCCGGCGAGACGTACGAATCGGAGGCGTTCTACAATAACCCACTACGCTGGTGGCGTAACGAGTACAGCGCCCGACAGACTCCGACTTTGATCGTAATGTTCGACGTGTTGAAGGGGCGTGTGGAGTCATTGTTGCAGGGATACAAGTTAATTCACGAACTACCTCATACTCAGGTAATTTTGGTGAAATTATTATGATACCTAGGAGCTACGTCATGCTTAAGTAATTTTGGTAAATTGATTATGATACCTACGAACTACCTCATATTCAGGTAAATTTAGTGTAATGATTATGATACCTACGAGTTACCTCATACTCGGGTAATTTTAGTGTAATGATTATGATACCTACAAGCTACCTCATACTCAGTTAAATTTAGTGTAATTATTATGATACTACCTCATGATTATTATGACACCTACGAGCTACTTCATACTCAGGTAATTTTGAGTGTAATGATTATGATACCTACGAGTTAACTCATACTCGGGTAATTTTAGTGTAATGATTGTGATACCTACGAGCTACCACATACTCAGGTAAATTTAGTGTAATGATTATGATACTGCCTCATGATGATTATGATACCTACGAGCTACGTCATGCTCAGGTAATTTTGGTGAAATTATTATAATTACCAATTTTCACCACAGCTATAATTTAAAAAATTGTAGCTAACAAGTGCAGGGTGTTATAGTGTCAGTCACACACGCACGCTCCTCCTAAAGTGTTATTAATTTAGGTAGCAAAATAATATTAGGTCCTTTACCTATAAAATTGCCATTTATAACACTGGCTACTTTCAAGTTTGATATCTCGCTTTCAACATGAAATTAATGTCCTATTAAAGTTGATTTCATATATTCATTTATTCAGTTTCCAGTCTTTTGGTTTTTCTTTGTGATCTCTGTAACTTTTTAAGTCATTCAAAGTTTAAATGAAACTAATATTTACAAATTGTATCGCGTAAAATAACTTATTATAATTTCCCGACGTTTCGAGTACTTTACTGCACCCATTACCCTACCGTGTAGTGGGGGTGTAAGAATATCCCCTACCCCATATCATCCCATGGGTGTCGTAAGAGGCGACAGAGGGAAACAAATCAGGAGATGGGCAGCAGCGTCATCCTAACATCGAATAAGAATAAAAAAACTGTGGTTGCCACCTGCTTGCCAAGTGTGGCAGCTATGGCAAATATCCCCCCTATCAGGCAATCTATGGGGGTGGCCTATATTCAGCAGTGGCCTTAATAGGCTGTAACGGTAACTGTAACAGCATCCATGGACATGGGGGGTCACATTCCAATGTGACGCTACCTTCAGTTTAAATTTATTAATTTTTGGTCCGATCTGCATAGAATTAATATACGCGACAATATCGGTATATATTAGTTTCATGTAAATGTGTAGTGTAAGCGTAAACATAATAAGTCATCATTCAAAGTTGTCATTGTGATCGAAACCAATTATAACATCAAAAATATATATTTGTAAGCTGCATTACGCAATATGTATATATATTATTATTTTATGTACCTCTCAAAATATTTTTTTTGCACAGCATCCTAAAGATGAAGTTGGGGGAAAAGTGCTAGTGTATCAGAAGATGAATACACAAGAGAAGCAGCAGGCATACGAGGGTGTTTAACATAACCCGCTCATCACATAGGAAGCCACATTCACAGGACTGTTAGTTAAATCTTCTCTACACTAGTTTAACAAAAATATACACTATTGTATAGATGTTAAAATCTATTATAGTGTACAGCAATTTTGATATGTGGTTGAACACAATATATAAAAACCACTTTGCTGATATGAAGAAGTAACCCACAGGAATCATGCATTTTTTCGGGGTGTTCTATGCTATTACTCTCTTGCCCAAAATCTTTTTGCAAAAATCAGAAAGAAAAACTAACCAACAAACACTTGCATTTATAATATTAGTAAAGATTATACAGAGTAATAAATTTGACATTATTGGTAGTCTAAAAATATTAACAATCTGTATTAAAATAAAAAAAAATACTTCTTTATGACAGCAATGTTGGGAAGATCATTGTAATTTTGTAAAAACTTCTTTGAAATGCATTTTTACACTTGTCTTTTTTAGTGTGAGATTGACTTATGAGGTTTTTGCCTCAGACAGTGTGTTTTGACGTGTAGTAGATTATATTCACACAAGCATTAATGCAAACAGCCTTTGTAAAAATATGCGCAGTGTTGTCTCTTTTACATAATGAGCCACTGAACATGAAATTATTTTAATACTTATAACCTTTTGTTTTTACTCGTAACAAGGCATTCTTACTTTGTTCCTCAGGGGCGACAACATATGGCGTCTTACTTGAGTGTAGCGACTACGGTCCACTTATATTTAACAAGTTTAACTGGTTAAGATATTTTTTGGTATTAATGCGTCTTCTGTTAGGTAGTAATATTTCCTTGCCTTGTCAAACTTGGAGTATCGTTGAAAAACGATGGTGTTATCAATTTTAAGATAGAGGCATTACCATTAATGCTTGTGTGAATGGACTTTAGCTTAAATTGTTTGTCGTGTGGCGTTCAAAATTCAACATGCTAATTTACTTTTTATAAAAATTGCAAAACGCCTCACACCTCAAAATTTACTATTTTGTAATTTATAGATTTACTGACTAACGTACCTCCATTGCCTCGTAAGTATGCGGTAAATATGTTTTTGTTTGAATACCCACAAATATAAACATTTTTACTATAAGCCAATTTGAGTTTGGAACATTACTATGAGATGATTGTTGCGTGCGATGTGCTTGACGTCGGCGTTGCCTTCATTCTTGTCCAAGTGGCACCAAAGGATTTAATGAACATTGCTGTTTTATCTCTTATATTGTCTCCATTGTAAATGTATATGATACAGTTTCTTCTTACTCTATACAGGGTTATTTTGCAATAACCGGCCAAATTTGCAGAGAAGGATCAGAACAAGTAATATAGCCAAATGGTGAAGAAAAATTTATTAAAAAAAGATCTCAAACATTGTCTTTTTTACCCGACTGTTATATTTTAACGTCGGGTAATTTTTTTGTTGAAATATGAAAAAGAACAATGGCAGACTTTCATACATAAAATTAGTTGAGAATGAATGGTAGCGTCTATACAACATGTAACAAAAACCCAAAAATCAATCTCATTTTTTGTCGAACCGTCGGGGCTCGACCAGGTCCACTTCCTGTGGGGCCGCTTCTGGAAGAAAGAGTTCATCATAAAGAGTCCCTCTTTCTCCATGAAGTCTGCCAGCTGCTGGCCCCTTGGGTTCCGTTGCCCTATTCCAAATTTCCCTACTTTCAGCTCACCGTTCTCTCTTGTGCCTAGTTTTGCATTGAAGTCTCCCATTAACACCGTATATTGGGTTTTGGAAGAATGCATGGCTCTAGAGATATCCTCATATATTTCCTCCACCTCTCATCGGGGTGTGTCGAGGTTGGTACGTAAACCTGTGGTTCCCGTTAAGTGCGTTATCAGTATCAGTATTCAAACCTATAGAAATAACTATTTTTTTAAACTACCAATTCTTTTTTAAATTTTATGTGGTTTTATTACCTCTTACTGACACTAGCCGATGCTAAAGCATAGTAAAGCGGGGTGTTTGACAATCCTCTTACTCCCCGGACAATGCAGAGGTAATAAAACCACATACAATTTATATACAATTTTAAAAAAAAAAAATAAAAAAAAATATGGTTATGTTTTAAAAAACATATTTCTATACGTTTGAATACTGATCCTGATAACGTACTTTACGGGAACCACAGGGTTTTTGTTACATATTGTATATCAAAAATATCTTAAAATGTCACTCCTTTAATAACTCTGTCAAAGAATATTGTCCTGAGAAGACGTCAAAAAAAAAGATATTTAGATTTGAACCTTTTTAGGTTATGTCTTATGTCACTTAGAAAGTCATGCGTCCTGTGGTTGTTTGATGTTAGCTTAATACATTCTCAACATAATGTGCTCTACCTACATAATTGAGAGTTTTTAGATTATTATATCTCTATTATATATTTCCATACTATAAATGTATATTTCTGACATGGCTCCAGGGCCTTTGTGTCATACAGGGACATCCTCAGAAGGGCTAGAACCCAGAGCCGTAACGCCAGTAAAAAACATTGACATTTTGTTTTAGCTAGTGCTGCCATAACATTAAATGGAATTGTTACATATTACTATGATTGAGACAATGTATTATTGTACGAAGTTCTTTGTAAGAGACTTTTTTTCAACCATAACACTTTTATTATTATTATTACTGATAGTATAGTTATTACTAATAATAACTTAATATATATTTTGTGTTTGTGTGTTGTGTTCGTAGTTTTACAGTGTATACGAAAATAGTATCAATGTAGTAAATGGCAACACTTTAGAGTAAAATGATTTAAGTGGAGTTTTGGCGGGAACTTGACCGGCGGCGGTTTGATGCTCCTGTGTTATAGTTTAAATAATAATTTGAAGTGGATTTTGATATGTAAAAGTGGTGCGATTTTATGTATTAACTGTCTACGCATGTGAACTATTAGTGGAAACGGTGAAACAAGTGCTCTGATGGTGATGGATTCTCAAGATAAGCTGTTTGTCTGCATAGGCGCCTTTAGATACCATCGTCGTCAAAATCTCCCAAGGGCTGCACAATGTGACGCATCAACTTATTGTGAAGCAGTGAACTATGAAGGATAATTATACATCTGGGGAAATTATAATAAACCGAATAAAAATACTCAAGACTTGGCCTAAAGGTCCAGATACCAGGCGGTAAAGTCCAAAAAAAAAATGATTTCAGTCATTTGATATCCCCAGAAATGTTTGATTTTTTCTGTGGCTTTAATTAAAATACATTTTTATTTGAAAAATCAGAAAAACAATAAAATTAATTTTATATATAACTTATTTCTAGACGCTATAATTTTTGTCAACTATTTTTCTGCCATTGTTCTTTAATGCATTATTTTAACTGATCTACTATTTTACTAAGCACGCACAAATTCGTAAGGATTCGTCGGTCAATCGGTCGACAAAAACGTGAATTAAATCGCACTCAGAAGTGCGCGTACGCGTAGTTGTTGTCCATAAATCGCATTCAATTTGGGATAATTTCAAATAAAAGTAGATGCCTTATTTACTCGTATATACAAAAACTGCAATAACGGTATATCATTATTTATATATTTGAACTTAAGTTTATAATTTGGCTACTCTTTGAAAAATAACCCTGTATACATCTTTCTGATGATTAACTAATCGACAGCAGTCGCCGCCTAAAACAACCATATTTCTAATTTCAGATTAAATTTAAATCGATAAAATTGCTCTTTGGATGTAGAAATTGATATGTATCTAAAGCACTCGCCCGCCACTGCTGGATGGATGGAGTAGATACTGTCCTACGAGAAGGCCTCGTTAAATAACTCCATTTTATAAGCTTATTGTAAAGCTGTTATGTTTGTGGTATTACATATTACGTTTATTATTAATTATTTTTAATAAGACATAATTTATATTTCTCACAATAATCCATGACTATATGCAGGACAAAGTGCAACATACCTCTTAATTTCGTACATAATGTACTTGCCAAAGTTAAGTATCGTAATTCAAAGAACTAACACTTTCTATATGAACGTAGTATGTTGTAACGCTACCACCGAAATCTGACTCACAGTAGACGTAGATGGTTTTTCTGCGGTTTTTAAGAATTAAGTGTCAATTGTTCCCTATCCTTACATATGTACCCATTATATTACAATTGTAAACATTGCAATTTCCCATTATTTTTGTAATTAATTAATAAAAAATATAGTGTTTAAAAATCTTGTAACTGCGTTTTTAAGCTGTTTCATTACACAGTTAATTACTAGTACAGTTTTTAAATCATTGTAAATATTTTATCAGTACTTACCCTGTCTAAATGAACTAGACAAAAAGGGAGGTTCTATTACATGGTATAAAGGGCCCTATCTGGTTAGTGAAATGAAATCTCTTTATTTTAAATGTAAGTGGTTTAAAGTTCATAATTATAAGATTATTTTATAAATACCTTTTTTATCTGAATTATTGAAAATGAGGTATTTTTCTATAAAAGGGATTATAAAATTAATTTTGTTGTTCATTTCCGTAGTGGGATACAGTTATATAACATTTTTGGAATTTGGAGAAAATACGAAGTAAAAGTATGAAAGTAAAAATCTATTAAGGAATTTATCACATGTTGAATACTCAGTCTTACAAACATGAAAAATGCAAAGATATACTGCGTATAAGTTTCTTATAATTTCCTAGCGATCCACCTCGGCTTAGCATGGTGGTGATGTCCACATCTGGACAACAGCCCAACCAACCGGGTTCAATTGTGAACATTAACCGTTCTCGAATCAACTTAACACACACAATATTTCATCAAAATCGGTCCATCCGTTTAGGACGAGTTCGGTCACATACACACAGACGAAAGAATTATATATATAAAAATATATATTTTTGGAACATTGACACTGGCTTTTAGTTTATTAATAACAATCAAGTTTTTTTTATAGTTTGTAATATTAGTATTAGTTGTAGTGTAAGATAGTGAATAGTTTCGATATCATTGATTATTTAATAATTGAA